CCCTTCAGACCCCCCCCGACTCCCACTGAGCTCGCTGCTGACGCTGGCGAAGACGTGCAGCAGCGGTACCGGGCAGACCGCGTTGCCAACATGCAGTCGAAGGAGGGCAACGATATCGCCCAGCTTGCTGTCCGAGCTCACATGCTAGTCGACCAGAGGGCCCACTTTTGTCAGGTGACGTCGGCCCAGAGTTTTTACGATGTTATGGTTAGACACTACTCCTCCCTCTCTCCTGCCACCCGTCCACTGCTGCAACGACGTCCGTTGTTAGAGGAGGTGCAGCAACTGGTCGAGGAGAGTGTAGGTACCTGTGCGTCTGCTAGTACATGTGGTAACACTTGAGGAGGCGGAGGTTCCTGGGGTGGACACCAGCGGGAGCAGCATCAGTCGGAGACCCTCTCACCGCAGCAGGTTCGAGAGTGGATGTCCCAGCGACGCGTCCCTGGTGGTGTAGAGGCTACTAGACTAGGTGCTTGTGGGCCTGTTAGCACGGGTGCAGTTCCGGCGGAGGCTTTGCTCACCTTTCACGCTAGACCCATGCGCGTCTCGCTGCTTCTTCCGCGACTGCACCACAGTCACACCACTTACCACACTTGTCCCTGTCACTCTGACCGGCCCCTCCTCTAGACCAGTCATTGCACGAGGTACTATTGTTCTCCTGTGTCTAGTAGTCCCCATTGGTTCCCTCATAGGTTTCCACCTCCCTTCGTTCGCTACGAACTTGGTGAGTAACGCTGTCCTCCATGATCATTTGGTCACTACCGCCACTCATGGAGGCGAGCGTGGCGATCTGTACGAATTCAGTTACTGGCGACCACCTCGCCACGTTCACTCGGAGACCTGGGTCTGACCTGTACACACTGCACGTTGTGTCTGCACGTCGTGCCGGTGACTCACGCATCCGTCTCTCCTCTGGCACCACAGTCTTGGAAGGTTCCAGGCCCATGAGAAGCTTTTTCGACCTCGGAAAAATCCTTTCACCCCCCAGGTGAAGTTGGAAGTGGAGAGAGCAGCTTCGGGTGAAGTTGTTATGACTGCTTATGGTGGATTCGCCCATTAAATGTATGTTCGTGATAGCTTAGTGCAATGATTTTTCCCGAGTCCTTGCCTTCCGTGTACAACACTCAAGTGTTCTTCACCCGCCACTTCGCGCTTACTTTTAACAAACCTTGCAATCTTAAACTAAGGTGGATCTTAAACTAAGTTTCGGGGCTAGCAAGAGCATCGTTCCCAATAGTGCATAAGCTAGTTCACAGAAGTGCTTGCAACTTTTGCTATTTGATGTTCGCCCACATTGTGATTATTTTGTACCATCCTTAGGCGCCCGTTCAATCGCACTGGTAACACCTATTGACAAAATGTGATAATAAGGGCGTATTCCTGAGCTTGTGTCATCCGGTGTTGGTGTCATCCGAATACTTTGGAACGCACGTGATTGGCCCGTTTTGATTTTTTTGCCAATCGCGTGAGTTCCAAAATTTTCGGATGACACCAACATCGGATGACACGATCTCAGGAATACGCCCTCAGCTCATTATTGAGAATTATCAAATTACAACAAAACAAAACATAATTACACCTTGATGCTCACTCAACCGCCCACTTTGAACACGCCCACTTCCACTCCATACGCCTAATGGTCGACATTAACAGCCAACGGCCCGCTCGTTACTGGCCCAAGATAAGTTAATCGAGTTTCCCAGACAAAACACGCTGGGCTACCCACAATTATGGCGACTGTTCTACATTCAGTCCCATTTTGCCCCTAGTGAGGACTTGCCCGAGAGAGGAGCACAGGGAAAGATGGGGAACGCGACTGAAATAGGCATCAGGTGTACATGCTCGTTACGGCCAGCCGTTTCTTTGCAAACGAATTATGAGTTCGTTATTGGCTATTGGAGGAACCAAGTTGCTGTCACTCGAATTGGAAATAATTAAGCGACGCGACGACTCTCAATTTTTTCTCAATCCTGTCGACTAACCTCGCTCCACGCTCCCCCTTTTTCTTTTTTCTCAATCCCATGAAGCGCAACTTGCTCTACACCCGCAAACATGGTTTAGTCACTCTGCGTATACGCAATTCACGAGTTTCAGATCCCTTTGATTTCTTGCTTTTGGGTGAGAACAAATCTGACACTATCCAGATGCAATAATTGCAACCCATTAGTACGAGTTGTCATTTTGAGCAGTTGCATTTATGATACACAGTGGCCGTACTGACGTGTTGCCTAGATACTTCAGGGCTGGAATGATAAAAAAAATGCAAAATCGTAGACAACTAGACTCTTGCATCAGACTAGACAACAATATAGCGTGGACTATAACTTTCAGATTTAGCAAAAAAAAAAAATCAACCCACAAATTCACAGGCATATCAAAGAGGTTTTGCATTTTGTCTCAAAAAGTGCGATTTTGCAAAATTATATGTCAAAAACACAGAGTATTTCTCTATAATTAAATATTTTAGGAGTTTTTGGAAGTATATTATTAAGTTTAGTTTGTTTTCAAATTTCCAATATTTTAAAAAAACCAATGTCTAATATGTCAAATTTAATTCATATAACGCCTTACATAACATTGTAGCCTAGAAAAACAAATAGCTTAAAGGTTATTGCGTATTAAAACCCGAAGCCTGAATTACAAAAACTGAGTCAACGCTTGGTTTGGTAGGTTTGGGGTTCGGGCAATATGAGGTGCGGCAGAATTGCGAAAGCAAAAAAGTTAGCGAAACATGATGCGACTCTCCCGTGAGTCAACGAGGCGTTATCAGCCAACGCAACCCAACAGTTCGCATACATTCTGCTTACAACCCCAGAGAGCTAGAGCAGGGTAAAAACCTGTGCGACAGAACAAGCGAACAACTCAGACAAGCTTTTTAGGATCCAAGCATCGCGCTCACCAGCCAGGCATATCAAGTGAACACAATTTAGGGACGATCGAATAGAAGATGAAGCGCGGTCATGCAATCGAAGTGAATCGTAGGCGCTGGCTGCGAGTGTGACGCACGTAGAAACGAGATGGCACGGGAGATATTAGCGATTTGCCCACCTCGCTTCCCCCGCCCGTCGCCCTCGCTCTTCCCGCGCACCACCTCCTCCCCGCCCGTCGCCTCGCCTCCTCCCTGCCCGTCGCCTTTGCTTCCTCCGCCCGCCCTCGCTTCTCCCCTCCCGTTGCCCTCGCTTCCCATACCCGCCGCCCTCGCTTCCCCCGCCCGTCGCGTACCGCATCTTCCCCGCCTACCACCCTCGCCTCGCGGGTCGCCATCGCCGCCTCCCCCTCCCGTCGACCTCGCTTTCCCCCTCCCGTCGACCTCGCTTTCCCCCTCCCGTCCACCTCGCTTTCCCCCTCCCGTCGACCTCGCTTTCCCCCTTCCGTCGACCTCGCTTTCCCCCTCCCGTCGCCCTCGCTTTCCCCCTCCCGTCGCCCTCGTTTTCCCTCCCCATCGCTCGCCGAGTCGACCTCTCCTCTCCCACCTGTCGCTGCGTCAACATTGTTCTCATTCCCGCCGCTGACGTCTTCGTCGAGCGTCCCCTCTTCTTCGCCCTCGCTTCCTTCCTCCGTCGCCCATGCCCATTCCCCTCCCTCGCGCCGACGCCCTGGTTTCCCGCCCCGCCGCCTTCTCTACCCTTCCCAGTGCCCTGGTTTACCACCTCTTTTTTTCCCCACCCAAAGCTTCACTCTCACCCACGTACACTCATGCGAAACAATTACTCCCCTTCCTCCCTTCACTCTGTTCCCCCCTGTTCACTCCCTCCCCCCCCCCTGATCACTCTCTTCCCCCTTGCTCATTCTGTTTCCCCCTTGCTCATTCTGTTTCCCCCTTGCTCATTCTGTTTCCCCCTGCTCACCCTCTTCCCCCCAGTTCGTGGTGTTCCCCCCTGTTCACTCCCTTTCCCCATGCCCACCCTCATCCCCTTGCTCACTCCGCGCTCGCCTGCGGGCCTCATCACGACGTCCGCCCGCCCTCTCACACTCGCCACGCCTCCCCACGCACCCTTCCTCATAAGCCCCTGCTTTCCATTCCCACTCTCAACCCTCATCGCCTCTTTTCCCCTCGAACAACTTCATTTCCCTTTCCCTACCTTTGAACTTCCATGGTATTTTTTCTCACGCCTTCCCTGCAATTCCTCCCCTTCTAACCCAATCCTCCTCCGCCACTCCTCGCCTCTCTCACACTCCTCGCCTCTCTCACACTCCTCGCCTCTCTCACACTCCTCGCCACTCTCACACTCCTCGCCTCTCTCACACTCCCCGCCTCTCTCACACTCCTCGCCTCTCTCACACTCCTCCTCGCCTCTCTCACACTCCCCGCCTCTCTCACACTCCTCGCCTCTCTCACACTCCTCGCCTCTCTCACACCCTCGACGTGCGCAAGGCGCATGCCATCAGCGCACGCCAGGCAGCGGCCAGCGTGGTGGCGCTGTTCGGCGAGTGCAGCACGGACAGGGCTGCTCTCACTATGTTTCTCCCTGCTCGCTCCCTTCCCGCTCCTCACTCTGTTTCCCCCTTGCTCGCTCTGTTTCCTCTCTTCCCCCCTGTTTTTTCTATTCCCCCCTGCTCACTCTCTTCCTCCACTGCTCATTCTCTTCCCCTTGCTGCTCGTTCTGTTTTCCCCTGCTCGCTCTCTTCCCCTTGCTCACTATGTTTCTCCCTGCTCACTATCTTCCCACCTGCTCACTCCCTTTCAACATGTTCTCTCTCTTTCCCCCTGCTCAATTATTTTACCTCTGCTCACTGTCTCCCCTGCACTCTGTTTTTCCCTGCTCATTCTGTTCTTTCCTGCTCACTCCCCTATTCAACCCTTTACCCATGCAGTGTGTCGGTGCCCAGCACCAGCTGTTGGGAGGGAACCACAAGTCCTGGTTTTTTGCTGCTGTATGTGCAGACAAGAGTTGGACAAGACATCACATGGACTAGCTTGTTCTTTTTTACTAGATTGATGCACATTGTAAGTGGTCTACAGTCTCATACCTCTGTGGATCAAAATTTAGTATATAATACTAAATATCCAACATTGGCATGTCTATTTGGGGGGGGACCTGTACAAACCCAGTTGTGAAAATCAGATGCTCGTGGCTGAAGCAGAACGCATACAAAAGGGTGGGCACTGACACTGACAAACCGGCACCTGCGAAGAGGAAGAAATAAAGAGACACTCACGGATTATTATTATGGTAGGAGACAAACGAGAGGCAGAGATGGGTTGGGGTGGAGATGGGTGGGGCAGAGATGGGTGGGGCGGAATGGGGTGATTTTGAAGGGTGGGGCGGAATGGGGTGACCTTGAGATGGGGTGGGGCGGAGTGGGCCAGGGCGGAGTGGGGTGGGGCGAAGATGGGGGAGAGCGGAGTGGGGTGGGGCGGAGATGGGGGAGAGCGGAGTGGGGTGGGGCGGAGATGGGGGAGAGCGTAGTGGGGTGGGGCGGAGATGGGGGAGAGCGTAGTGGGGTGGGGCGGAGATGGGGGAGAGCGTAGTGGGGTGGGGCGGAGATGGGGGAGAGCGTAGTGGGGTGGGGCGGAGATGGGGGAGAGCGGAGTGGGGTGGGGCGGAACCGCATCTCCCCTCCCCAAAAAGCTTCTTAGTGCTGAAAAGCACAACGGATGAGGGGTGAGGAGGAGATGGGGTGAGGAGGAGATGGGGGTGGGGCGGAATGGGGTGGGGCGGAATGGGGTGGGGCGGATTGGGGTGGGGCGGATTGGGGTGGGGCGGAATGGGGTGAGGCGGAATGGGATGGGGCGGAATGGGGTGGGGCGGAATGGGGTGGGGCGGAATGGGGTGGGGCGGAATGGGGTGGGGCGGAATGGGTTGAAACGGAATGGTGAGGTGAGGGATGGAGAGGGAAGGGATGGGGAGAAGAGGGATGGGGAGAAGAGGGATGGGGAGAAGAGGGACGGTAAGTTGAGAGACTGGGAGGTGAGGGATGGGGAGGGAAGGGATGGAGAGGGAAGGGATGGGGAGGCGGGGATGGGGAGGTGAGGGATGGGGAGGGACGGGATGGGGAGATGAGGGATGGGGAGGGAAGGGATGGGGAGATGAGGGATAGGGAGGGAAGGGATGGGGAGATGAGGGATGGGGAGGGAAGGGATGGGGATGGAGCATAGGCGACGGAGGGGAATGAGAGAAGGCGAGGGGCAGGGGGTGAGCCTGGGCGACGGAGGGAAGTGAGCGTGTGCGGAGTACGGGCAGTGAGCGTGGGCGATGGATGGGGGGAGAGCGTGCGTGGTGGGGAGGAGTGAGCGTGGGCGACGGAGGGGACTGTCGCGACAGGAGGGAAGCGAGAGAACGTGGCGGGAGGGAGAGAGCGTGGGCGGCGGAAGGGGAGTTGTCGCGCGCAACGGGAGGGAGTGCGCGCGGACGGAGCTGGGGTGAGGAGGAGACGGGGTGAGGCGGAGATGCGGGAAGGAATAGGCCGTGGCGACGAGCGGGGGTGAGCGTGTGCGACCGAAGGATTGCGCGAAGGCGATGGAATGGGGGTGAGCGTGGGCGACGGAAGTGAATGATCGTGGGCGACGGTACGATTTTCCCCCGCGATCGCGATGGGAAGGGAGTGAGCGTGGGCGACGGGAAGGGCTTGAGCGTGGGCGACGGAAGGGAGTGCGCGCCGGCGACGAAAGGGAGTGTGCGTGACCGTTCGAGGGGAGTGCCTGTGTGCGACGGGAAGGCGTTATCATCCGCGACGGAGGGATGTTCGCGTGCGCAACAGAGGGTTTTGCGTGAAGGAGATGGGAGGGAAGGGAGCGTGCTCGTTCGAGGGAAGAAGCGTGAGGGATGGAGGGGATCGCGTGTGTGTTCCGGAAGGGGTCCGAGTGTGGACGTCGGGGAGAAGAAGCGATGCGGCGAAGCAGGTGGATGAAACCTACGCGGCGGATAGAGAGGACGTCGCGGCTATGAAGATAGGCGACATTGGTGCGGTGGGCGGTGTGGAAGTGAAACCAGGGCGACGACGGGCATATGTGCAACCATGGCCCCGGCTAGCTATGTCGAGTGGAAACGTGACCTAGAACCGCGGGGCGCTTTAGAGACGGATTGGAAGAATGAAGGCATGGTCCTAACGTCCTAAGGAGGAATTTTCCGCCATGCGCTGGAATGGGGTAGAATGCTAGATGTTCTATGCTATGGCTGTCGCTCTAGCTGCTCAGACTAGGCAGTTTCGAACGACCTGAATTACATATTTCCAGTTTGGTGTGCACACCTCAGCCCAGGAACCGAGCGACCCTTCCCTGCGCTGCCTGCGACTTCTTTCACGTTTTGCAGGTGAAAACCTGGTAACCACACTGGTTCGGGAGGGAAAGTGTTAACACCTCCCAACTTTTCTTGTAATTCATGCTGCGGGTAAACCATGCCTGGCTTAAAAATATGTGTCGTCCAACAAATCCGATACAAACTCTGTCGACAGTTGTTCTCCATTTATCGCGAAAGCGCATGTAGAAGTCCATGGGATATAAAAAATCGGGTAGCGCTGTGCGAGGGTAGTCGACAGGTTTGAGAAAATTTCGAAAATCGTCGCGTCGCGCGATTATTTCCTCGAATTGAGAACTGCTACAAAAAAAATTAGTTTCGGCGCAGTACAGTTGGCAACAAGCTGGGCTGGCAAGGCAAACAACTGTATCTCGTACAGCCGGGCACTGTGGAAGGTCAGTCTGGTTCACCTCGAAACAGTGCTGTAAATATTGAAAGCACACTGCGGATGGCTTGTACTTGATAATCATGTTATACAATAAGGTTTTCTCAGACAAACAGTTTTTTCCTTCAGATAAACTAGGAAGACCAGAAGGACGCGTTCAGCCAATTGAGACACACAGTCCGACTTCAGGCGGTTATTCATATTTGAACCCCGCCATCACAATCACCTACCCGACTTGATCGAACCGGAATGAGACATCGGTTCGTCGATTCGGGAGTTGATCCTGTCTCGCGACGCCTAACGAACAATAACTGATTGCGAATTCATCTCAACAGTCGCGATTCCAGTCAGTCCTGCTGTTTTTGCGTGGAGCACTTCTCGCCGAGATGCCATTTTCTCCCCACACCAGATCGCGTGAGAGAACTTACTCGGCGGTTGAAATTCTTGAACGGATTCGAAGTTGATAATTTTTCTTTATGTGTTTTACGGTCTATTCGTATTTTTATTTCACAATTTTTCCTGAAGATATGATTCATTTTCACATGGCCTTCGCTGGACCCTGCCAAATTCCGAGCCTTTGAAGGTTTGTTCTGGACTTGAGACTCGACGAGACGGCTCAGCCGGCTCTTTGCTGCCAGGTTTCACCGAATCACGTCATTCTATTCCACGTGTAATTTGTAAACAGTAGGGGCTGGAAACTGGGGCGCTGCCGTTAATCTCCCCGCATTTGGCGGTAGATGACATCCCGCTCGCGCCACTCGCGGAGCGACGCCGTGCACTTGTGCCTGCTCGATCCGAGCGGCTCGGAAGAGCTACAGCAATCACTCGCTGGATTGGCCATCAGTGCCACATCGCGAAGTTCCACCAATCACTAATTTTGCCCCCTCCCATTTCCCCTCCCCCCACCCCCCCTCCAAACTTTGCTAGCCCGAGCTCTCCCTCCCATCCCCACATTCTGGGTGTGTCGCATTTGCGAGTAAAATTGCCAAATGCACTAGTAACCTGGAGTTTGCTAATGGATTCCTAAACTCGTATGTCGTGGAGTGTGGCTAGAAAGAGATAGGGTAGTCGTACCTGAGAATGGCCTACTCACCGTGAGGTAGCTCACAGCTCCGTGAAGGCGTTTGTGTTTCGTCAGAATGTTGCATCTTTGGTAAATTCTGTGAGTGACGATTCCCTGCTCGTGCCGCAAATCCCGCTCAATTCATTCAATGGACGACTACGGTTCAAGCTCAAATCACGACAATGCTAGTACTACCAATGCTACTTCTATACAGCATATCTCCTGTAGCAACAATGCTGGGAGCGCGTCGCGGCTCGTGCTACTACAATCGCCGCCACTAGTAGTATCGCCTTCTTCCGAAGGCGACTCGCCGAGGTTATCTGCAGAAAAGGACCTTCTCCCTGATGGAGACGATGGACATGACAGTGAATTTCGTCGCGCGGGGCGAATCCAGCACATTGTTAATTCCGACGGCTTTAATTGGCTCAAGTACGGCGAGAAACGCGTCTCGGCGTCTCGGCCGATTGTAAGGTACTACCTTGGGATTATAATAGTGTGCGGATCGGCCAGGGATACATTTTTTAGTGATAATCTGTCGGACTTCATGTATGCTTTTCGTTTATCTTCTTCAGTTATTTTTCTTCAAACACCGTGTAGGTATTCAAAACTATACCCTGTACTGTTGTACATTTAAAAAGGGTACAGATTACTGGACAGGCTCTATGGCATTTGAATTGGTTCCGCCATCCGCAACCACCCAAACTCCCAAGGTTTTTTCCGAGATGTTCTCTATTAGTAGTACTCCTGGCAGGGAAAGCGTGAAATTCTCCTTTTTTATTTTGCTTCGATGCGACCGCAGCGGCGCCTGTGAATCACCTATCAATGACGAGCTAATCACACTGTATGTTTTTCCTCCACTTCACGTTCGTTCCCTGCCTTCCGCCGCTCACCTGTCCCCCCCGTCCCCCGTCTACCCCCGTCACCCCGGTTGCCCTGGCGTCCACGTGCGTGTGGTCGCGAGCCGAATCCTCACCATGCCGTGCGCGCAAAGTAGTGGAGATCGACCCGTCCAGCAAGGTCACTCCCAGTACACTGCATACTCGTTATATGAACACCCACAACCACCGGACTAAGGGACAGTGCCCCCGCTACCTGCGCAAGCAACTGAAGAAGAAGCCGACCCCGGCGGCTGGCAGTGGCGGCAACGGCAGTGGCAACGGGAACGGGAACGGGAACGGGAACGGGGACGGGAACGGGAACGGGAACGGAAATGGGAACGGAAACGGGAACGGGAACGAGAACAGCGACGAGAACGGAAACCGGAACGGGAACGGGAACGGGAACGGGAACGAGAACGGTAACGGGAACAGAGACGAGAACGGGAACGGGAACGGGTACGGGTACGGGAACGGGAACAGAAACGAGAATGGAAACGGGAACGGGAACGGCAGCGGCAACGAGAACCGGAACGGGAACGGGAACGGGAATGGCACCGGCAACGGCAACGGCAACGGCAACGGCAGCGGCAACGGCAACGGCGGAGGCGCAGGCCGCTGCCTTGGCAGCGCTGCAGCGAGGAGGAATCTTACCACCCCCTCGCAGTCCGCTGGCACTGGTGTTCAGCGTCCGGTGCAAGTGGTAAAAACCGACTATCCGGACACGGAGGAAAGAGCGGAGGAAACGACGAAGGGAGGGGCCACGGGCACTGGCAGCCTTGCCGGCTGCGAGTCGCGGCCTGCTACGCCCGTCACTCCGCTCCCCCTTTTCGAGTCGCCCATTGGCCGTCCCCAGTCGCGGTACGCAACGATCGCGAGAGGCATGGCCCTGTCTGCGCGCGCGCCTGCACCCGCGCCTGCGCCTGTGGTTGCGCCTGCGCCTGCGCCTGCGCCTGTGATTGCGCCTGCGCCAGTGCGGCCTATGCTTGCCCCTCTGCCTGCGCCTATGCCTGCGCGTGTGCCTGCGCCTGCGCCTTTGCCTGTACGTATGCTTGCGCCTATGCCTGCGCCTGCAGCGTTCACTGGCGCCGCCACTGCCACCGCCACTGCCGCTGCCACTACCGCTGCCACTGTCAGCGTGAGCAACGGAGTTGTTAAATCCGAGCCTAGATGGAGCACGAGGGTGCCTTTTATCTCGCCAGTTTACCACTTCAGCAGCAGCAGCAGCACTGGCGGCAGCGCTGGCAGTAACATCGGTGGTACAGGCAGCGGCGGTGGCGCGGGCGGGGGAGCAGCATCATGGGTGCGGATCGTGCCTCAGTGCCCTGCGCAGGTGGGTGGAGGGCTGTGGTCAGCCGCTGCACCCGCATCTGCCGCTGCTGCTGCATGCCCTTCATCTCCTGCCCTTTCCCTCTCACCTGCTGCCTTATCTGTGACTGCCGCCGCTTCTTCTGCTGCTGCGACCCCTGCTGCTGCTGCAGCATCACCTTTCCCATGCCGTCTTGCTCCAGCTGTAGCACCACCGGCACCAGCACCAGCGCCAGCGCCAGCACGACTTGGAAGCTGTGGTTCCGGTAGCAGCAGCAACACCACTGGTTCTGGCCAGTCAGGGCACTTGGCATGCTCCGGGCAATCTAGCCATTCGGGAGGATCGGGGACTTTCGGGCTGTCTGGGGATTCTTCTTTTGTGGCAGCTGGTGCTGCTTGTGCTGCTGATGCTGGTGCTGCTGGTGCTGCTGGTGCTGGTGCTGGTAACAGTGGGGGCAGCAGAGACAGCAGCGACAGCAACGATAGCGCTGCTGCTCTTGCGGTTTCGACGAAAGGAGGCAGCAGCATCAGCAGCATCACTGCGCTCCCTGTCACTATGATGCCCACATTCATCCAGCCTAATGCAGTCGCTGCCTCTGCTTCACCTGCTGCTGCTACTGCATCTATTGTTGCTGCTGCTGCTGCTGCTGCTGCTGCTGCTGCTGCACCCAATGCTGTCGCTGCACCATCTCCTGGGTTCGCTCCAGCAGCAGCAGCAACCCCTCCCAGGGCGCAGAGCCGTCGTCCCTTCCGAGTGCCCAGAAGCATGGCTGGCGCTGCCATAACTGCTGCCTCTGCACTTGCTGCCGCTGCTTCTAATTGTGCTGCCTCTGCACCAATCACAGCAGGAGCCACCACCAAAACCGCTGCTTCTGCTTCTGCTGGATCCACTGAAGCTGCTGCCTCTGCTGCTGCTACGTTTTCCGTTGCTGCATCTGCTGCAGGCGCGTCTGCTGTGGGTGCGGTTCACCCCGCTCTCCTGCCGTCATCCACCCTGGTGCTGCCGGTGCTGCTGGCTCAGCCGGCGCATTCTCATGCCGCTGCCTCCGTGCTCGCTGCTGCCCTTACGGCTGCTGCCAAAGCTCCTCCTCCTCCTGCTGCTGCGTCTCCTCCTGTTGCTGCTGCGCCTCCTCCTGTTGCTGCTGCCACTGCCGCTCCTGCTGCAGTTGACGCCACTGCTGCTGCTATTGACGCCACTGCTGCTGCGGCGTGTGTTCGAGACGCTGCCCGTGCCGCAGCGTGTTACAAAAGCACGCTTGCCTCCCGCCAAGTGCTCCATAGCCACGAGATGTTATTGGAGTGCAAGCCCTGCCTTGCCGACTTGCCAGTCACCGCGCTCATCCCGTCTGTAGCCTCTCATCCCGCCGCCACTGCTGCCGCTGCCGCCCCCGCCGCTACTGGTGCTCCTGCTTCTTCTGCAGCTGCTGTGGGCTCTTCCCCTTGCTCACACGCAGCTGTTGCCTCTGTGAGACAGCTTGATCCGCCCGCGCTTGTGGATGCAGCTGCAGCACTTGCTGCTGATGATTCCACAGCAGCAGCTCCTGTCATTGGTGGTGTCTCTTCCGAATCCGTTGGCGTTACTGCTGGTGCTGATGCTGCTGCTGCTGCTGCTCTGGTCACTGAATTAGCAGCTTCATTAGCAGAAATAAAAGCTGAAACTGAGTCTGAAAACGGCCTCATTAATAAGCCGGCTGACCCGCAAATTGAGGCCTCTTTAGCAGAACCAAATATCGAGGAACAGAGGACAGAGCAGAAGGGCGGTGGGGCAGCGGATGTGGTGGGAAGGGAAGGCAACGCAGCAGCGGCAACAGGCACGGCAGGAGCAGCATCAGCAGCAGCAACGGAGTGGGTCCGTCTAGTGCAACTTATTGATATGGAAAACCCTTCTGCTGCTGGCTCTCCTAGCATGCGTTACCGCGGTAAACCGAGCACCTCTGGGCAGCTGCAGCTGCAGCAAGCAGCCAGCATGTCTGCTGCCGATGTCGCTGCGTGCTGCAGCGACCTTGCAGGAGACGATGGTCATCATGATTCGGATCCTGATCCTGAACATGATCCTGAACATGATCCTGAACATGATCCTGAACATGATCCTGAACATGATCCTGAACATGATCCTGAACATGATCCTGAACATGATCCTGAACATGATCCTGAACATGATCCTGAACATGATCCTGACATGATCCTGAACATGATCCTGAACATGATCCTGAACATGATCCTGAACATGATCCTGAAACATGATCCTGAACATGATCCTGAACATGATCCTGAACATGATCCTGAACATGATCCTGAACATGATCCTGAACATGATCCTGAACATGATCCTGAACATGATCCTGAACATGATCCTGAACATGATCCTGAACATGAGCCTGAAATGATCCTGAACATGATCCTGAACATGATCCTGAACATGATCCTGAACATGATCCTGAACATGATCCTGAACATGATCCTGAACATGATCCTGAACATGATCCTGAACATGATCCTGAACATGATCCTGAACATGATCCTGAACATGATCCTGAACATGATCCTGAACATGATCCTGAACATGATCCTGAACATGATCCTGAACATGATCCTGAACATGATCCTGAACATGATCCTGAACATGATCCTGAACATGATCCTGAACATGATCCTGAACATGATCCTGAACATGATCCTGAACATGATCCTGAACATGATCCTGAACATGATCCTGAACATGATCCTGAACATGATCCTGAACATGATCCTGAACATGATCCTGAACATGATCCTGAACATGATCCTGAACATGATCCTGAACATGATCCTGAACATGATCCTGAACATGATCCTGAACATGATCCTGAACATGATCCTGAACATGATCCTGAACATGATCCTGAACATGATCCTGAACATGATCCTGAACATGATCCTGAACATGATCCTGAACATGATCCTGAACATGATCCTGAACATGATCCTGAACATGATCCTGAACATGATCCTGAACATGATCCTGAACATGATCCTGAACATGATCCTGAACATGATCCTGAACATGATCCTGAACATGATCCTGAACATGATCCTGAACATGATCCTGAACATGATCCTGAACATGATCCTGAACATGATCCTGAACATGATCCTGAACATGATCCTGAACATGATCCTGAACATGATCCTGAACATGATCCTGAACATGATCCTGAACATGATCCTGAACATGATCCTGAACATGATCCTGAACATGATCCTGAACATGATCCTGAACATGATCCTGAACATGATCCTGAACATGATCCTGAACATGATCCTGAACATGATCCTGAACATGATCCTGAACATGATCCTGAACATGATCCTGAACATGATCCTGAACATGATCCTGAACATGATCCTGAACATGATCCTGAACATGATCCTGAACATGATCCTGAACATGATCCTGAACATGATCCTGAACATGATCCTGAACATGATCCTGAACATGATCCTGAACATGATCCTGCCAAAGCAGGGTTGCAGCAGATGATGCTGCCAGGAGATGCAGTGGAGGATTTTCCTGCTTTGCATTGGGATGAGCTTCCGTGGGTGCCTGCTTTACCAATGGAAATGACAATGGGGATGGGGGAGGTGGCGGCACAGGGGGATACTGGTTCGACCGACCCTGCTTTTGGTGGTGGGGATGGTGCTGCTGATTTTATTGGGACTGGTAATACCGCTCATTCTGCTGATACTGCTGCTGTTGGCGATGCTGCTGCTGCAGTTCCTGCTGTTGCTGCTTCTGCCGTCTCAGCTGCCGCTGTAGCTACAACAGCACAAGCCAGCAACACCCTCGCATTGCCTCAACCGTCCCACGCTGATTCACCCTCTCCTGCCTCTTTCCCGCCCACAACAGCCTGCCATTCAACACTCACAGCGTGCGGAGCACAGGTAGCAGCAGCAGCAGCAGCAGCAGCAGCAGCAGCAGCAGCAGCAGCATCTGTGCCTGTGCCTCTTCAGTCGCGTCACTCGTTTGAAGCGGCGCAGAAAGCATCATATGACGCGCAGCCAGCCGCGTCGCCAGCCGCGTCGCCAGCCGCGCCGCCAGCCGCGTTTTTCGAGACGTCTCAAAAGGCGTCTCAGGAAGGGTATGAAGCTGTGCGTGCAACAACTCACCGCAAGTCACCGAGCGTATTTGTGGCGCCTCAAAAGGAATGTCAAGACGCCGCGGTCCGGTCTCTTGAACCGCTACGCTCGTTTGCAGTGCCTCAGCAAGGGGTTTCAACACATCAGCAAGGGGTTGTTGCAGCAGCAGCAGCAGCAGCGGCGCCAAGACCGTCTCACAAGTCACTGCGCCCTGCCCTGTCCGCTGCACCTCAGCACGGGGTTGCTGCTGCTCCAGCTGCAGCAGCATCCGGCGCACAGGGCGTGCCTCACAAGTCACTCCGCTCGGCCTTGTCTGCTGCCCTCGCTCACAACCGGATGATACTGGAGCGGCACAGCATGCGCATGCTCGCTCACTCGCAAACCACGTACCGGCCCAACCAGCCGTTGAGCCTCAAGAGAAGCTGCTGGGATGGGCATGCTAACGCTGAAGGAAATTATGGGGGCCACGGTGGGGGGTATGGAGAGCATGGGCGTGGTGGGGAGCGTGCAGAGGATGGGGATGATAGGGGAAGCTACACGGTTCTAAATGAAGGAGGGGGGCAGGATGGGAGTTATGGTGAGGGATACGGTGAGGGGCATGGTGGGGGGCATGGTGGGGGGCATGGTGGGAGGCATGGTGGGGGGCATGGTGGGGGGCATGGTGGGGGGCATGGTGGGGGGCATGGTGGGGGGCATGGCTAAGTGGGAATATACGCTCAAACCTGTTTGCGTTTAGCGTATACACGCTAGCGTGTATACGCAAAACGCTAAACGCTATCGAATACGCTATACGCTCGCCAATTTTTTTTTGGGGCAGCCTGGCCAGAAAATTTCAACCTATACGGTTCGCTTCGGAATTGCACGACGAAGACATTGGCGGGGTCAGATGGCACGTCCGCGCTGTGTGCTAGCGTGGACGTGGGTTGAAAGTTCGTGTCGCAAATGGAAAGTCACGTTCGTCGAGTCGCGCCTGCACGTTCCCTCACATTTTGGTGTTCACTATCAGTACCGCATTCAAACCCTTCGCAACCAACACCTCTCCAATTTTTGTTGGCCATCTTCCCACTCCCACAATCAACTCGCCATAAAACAAGCACACCCCCAACATCCAACTCATTAGGTCTTCTCTCGCTACCAGCAGAGCACTAGGCATTCCCTAGCGCATGGTGCCTATGTCGACGAGTACTACCTCTCCTCTAACGCCACCGTCAGTTAACACCGTTGGCAGTTCGCAAACTCTTCTAACCGAGGCACGGGAGTATCTCCCCGACGTTGACCATGCCGTCTTCAAGCACTTCCGCATCATCAAGAGGGTCGAGGGAAAAGCTCAGCAGTACGAGTGCAAGTTCTGCAGCAACGTCTACACTGGTGCTGCCATCCGATGCGCGCAACACTTCACGTCGTGGAAGGGGATGAAACGCCGTGAAGTGGTGCTTTGCAAGGATGCGCCGCAAGATGTGCGCTTGGCCATGCGCGCGAAATACGAGGCAAAGGCTGCTGCGGCCGAAGAGAAGAGGCGGGCAGCAGCTGAAGCGGTTGCCGCGGTCAAGGCTAATGGTGTGAAGCGGGCGCGCATCACCGATTACCTTGATGGGGATGCGGCTGCAAGAAAGAGAGAAGCGGACGAGGCACTTGCGCTTGCTTGGGCCGCCCTCCATATCCCCGAGCGCCACATTGACCATCCTCTGATGGTCAATGCATTGAACCTCGTCAAGCGCGCCGGCGTCGACTACGTCCCTCCCAAGAGGAAATACATCGGCGGTGCTGACCTTCTCTCGTGTCGCAACGGAATCGAGCAGGGTTTGGTGGGCATTAAGGCGAGCTGGAAGAGGACGGGCGTGACGGTTTCGTCCGACATGATGACGGACCGCAACGGCAGGCCGCAGGCCAACGTGCTTCTCGTAAACGATTCCGGCGCCGTCTTCACCGACTGTATTGACTGCAACATGGAGAGGAAAACCGGAGGTTACGTGGCGGGAATTCTTAGGCCCGTGGTGGAGGAAATGGGTCCAGAAAACGTTGTTGCGTTCTGCATGGACGGGGGGTCGAACTATGCGGTGGCGGTGAAGCAGCTCTTACAGGAGTGGCCGCACATTCAGGATGTGCCGTGCGCCACTCACGTATTGGATCTTCTCATGGAAGATGTCGGGAAGATGGGATGGGCTAAGCCGGTGGTCGACAAGGGAGGGGAGATATCTAGCTTCGTCCGCAACCACCACTGGACCCGAGGGTACCTGCGGAAGCCGGAATTGGTGGAGGGGAAGGTTCTGCAGGCGCTGAAGCCGGCTGGAACCCGATTCGGGACCAACTACATAGCCATATCCCGGCTATGTGCGATGCGCGGCAGCCTTACCAACATGGTGACGAGTTCTTCGTCGCACTGCTGAAGCTGCCCTTTAAGGTGATGAGGCAGACGGACGGGCATGCCGTGGGGATGATGGGGAGGCTGTACGATTTGATGCTGCAGTTGACTGAGGACGTGGGGGGCTTGCTCGATGCGGACGAGGAGCAGCTGAGCGACGGGGACAAGGACAAGATCCGCCGCATCCTCAGAGACCGCTGGGACGGCAGCCTCGCATGCGCCATGCATGTCGCTGGCCGCATCCTCAACCCCGCGAATCAGGAGGAAGAAATTTTCGGCACTGATCCCGAGTGCACGAAAGTCTTCAAGGCGTTCATCAGCCAGCAGGCCGAGTTCCTTGCGAGCCGCGAGGATGGGGGGGATGACGCGTGCGACATCTTGCTTGAGCTGGGGGACGGGCTGAGGGCGTTCCTTGACATGAAGGGTTCTTTTGGGATGCCGGAAGCCGTGGCACAGAGGAAGCTGGTGAAAGAGGGAAAGTATAGCATGGTGAAGTGGTGGCAGTGGAATGGGACTGATGCCCCTCGAGTGGCGGGGCTCGCGGTACGGGTGCTGTCTCAGGCCGTGTCAGCCTCAACTTGTGAGCGTGGATGGTCCTCGTGGGATGCCGTTCACACCGCACGTCGCAACAGGCTCGGATCCGCCAAGTGCAGGGACTTGGTCTATGTTGCGCACAACTGGAATGTTGTGCGCAACTGGCACACGCGCGTTGATGTCTTGCCACATGTGGTGCCCGGGATTAGAGCGGAGCCTCCAATCCCGGCGGGATACAATGGGCTGGAAGACGAGACGAAGGGAGAGGATGAGGAGGAAGGCGAAGACGACATCCTCGAAGACGAGTACGCTAACTAGAGGGGGCAAATGTGGCTTGCTGTGGGCGGCTAGTCCTAAGGAGTAGTAGTACGTAGCTTGTCTTAGAGAGAAGTGATGGTCGTGATGGAGTAGTGATGATTGTAGTGATGGTAAGTGATGATGGTAAGTGATGATAGTAGTGATGATAGTGATGATAGTAGTGATGACAGTAGTTATGTGTAGGCCGTGGTATATGTGTAATGTGGAAAAAAAAAATCTCTGAAACTTCAGGCCCCATACCCCACCCCCATACCCCCTCCCCCCCCCCCCCCCCCCCCCGGGCCTTTTTTTGACCCTGCCCGGGAAGTTTTTTTTCTGCCCGAAAAAGCGTATTTCCAAACCCGTCCCTACAGCGTATAGCGTATATAAGAGTGCGTATATACGATAAGCGTATATACGCAATAAGCGTATATTCCCACTAAGGGGCATGGTGGGGGGCATGGTGGGAGGCATGGTGGGGGGCATGGTGGGGGGCATGGTGGGGGGCATGGTGGGGGGCATGGTGGGAGGCATGGTGGGAGGCATGGTGGGGGGCATGGTGGGGGGCATGGTGGGGGGCATGGTGGGGGGCATGGTGGGGGGCATGGTGGGAGGCATGGTGGGGGGCATGGTGGGGGGCATGGTGGGGGGCATGGTGGGGGGCATGGTGGGGGGCATGGTGGGGGGCATGGTGGGGGGTATGGGGTTGATGAGGGGAGTTTGAAGGTGGTGAATGACAGTGCTGGCAGCAGCACTAGGAGTGAAACCGCGCAGGAGCAGTTGCAGGCTGAACGGGAGGCGCAGGTGCAGTTGCAGGGTGAACGGGAGGCGCAGGTGCAGGCACGGTTGAGGGCAGAATGGGACATGCAGGCTCGTGGAAACTATCGCAATCACGACAAGAATCGCAACAGCAATGGGGGCTGTAAGGGGGGGGAGGCGAAGGAGGAGGCGAAGGAGGAGGCTGTCGATGCACTGCTGCCGTTGGGTGATGCACCATTGGATGTGATGCACCATTGGATGTGATGCACCATTGGATGTGATGCACCTCCAAAGCCACCACGCGCCTGCTGCTGCTGCTGCTGCTGCTGCTGCTGCTGCTGCTGCTGCTGCTGCTGCTGCTGCTGCTGCTGCTGCTGCTGCTGCTGCTGCTGCTGCTGCTGCTGCTGCTGCTGCTGCTGCTGCTGCTGCTGCTGCTGCTGCTGCTGCTGCTGCTGATGCAGAATTGCCCTGGCTGGGTGTTCCGCCGAGCTCCAAGGTTACTGCGCGGTTCAAGGCCCCTCAATAACAATAACGCGGACCTCTCGAGGGGTTCAGCGAGGGTTGAAGTGCGGTGGGGCAAGTCGACTGGTCGACTGGTCACAACTCACCCGGGCAAGTCAGTGCAGTGGTTAGCTGCAAATTTTGAGGGGGGAGGGAAGCGGCGGAAGGGAGGGGTTGATGAATAATTGGTTTCATGGGTTTGTCAGGGCGTACTAGTGCTCTAAGTTCTTCTGGTGAGAAATGGCTTGCTGGAGCTACGGTATCTGTAGGCGCGTGGATGCAGGGGTGATTTGCATGGGACGGTATGTGATGCTCTGCTCCACCGTACCTTGTATTCTAGTTTTTTGTTTATGATTTTCTTTTGTGAAGTGAATTCGGCGGCTTCAGAATGTACCGCACCACTCTATTGCAGACCGGAAGAAATGAAGAGAACAGTTGGGACTACTACGGTAAGGTACGGTACATACGGTGTTGAGGACATTAGTACGGTACCGGTACCATACCGTACCGTACCATACTAACCAACCAATTAGGCATGAGCCACGCACATACCCGATTGTCCCAGCCCAACCCAACACCATTCAAATCAAACCCTGGTTACCCCTCCACCCTCAGCCCATGGTACCATATCAAGAGTGGCTCTGAAACTTAGGAGGTACCCACGTCTCAGGCTTACAGTACCGTAGATGTTCCCCCTCATGACCCCTAGCCAGTCTCGCCCATCAGCCCATGGTACATATTTATTAATGTAAAAGTGCAGTTTTGATACGTCTACCGTAAAAATCACACTTCTTTCACAAGGTGGTGAGGTACGGTATCCACATCTTGGGTTCACCGTATAAGCTCCCCGCTCAGCCCAAGGTATCAAGACTGGCTGTGAGACCCAGGAGGTACCCACATCTCTGGCTTATATGCTCCTTCCTGTCCTGCCAATGCTTTTGCGACGTCTCACAAGTCTCCTAACCCTGGCCAGTCACTCCCCTCAGCCCATGGTATCAAACTTATCAAGGCTGGCTGTGAGACCCAGGAGGTACCCACATCTCTGGCTTTTACTCTCCTCCCCGTCCTGCCGATGCTGAGGTGATTGTTGAGTCGGCTCAAGTGTGGATTTAAGAGGACCCAGGAGGTACCCACATCTCTGGCTTATACTCTCCTCCCCGTCCTGCTGATGCTGAGGTGATTGTTGAGTCGACTCAAGTGTGGATTCAAGAGGAACCAGGAGGTACCCACATCTCGGGCTTATACTCTCCTCCCCGTCCTGCTGATGCTGCTCCCTCTCTTCCTCCTCTTCCACCTCCTCTGAACCCTTTTCCAGCATCCACACCCACACCACCACCGGTCTCACTTCCCTCCCCCCCCCCTGCACCTCCCCTTCTTGCTTCTTGCGCGGAGGCATGTGGGGGGGTGGAGGACGGGTGGGGGGCGGCAGAGGGGGAACGGGGGGGTGTGGAGGGCGGGGGCGGGGGGCGGGGGGTGGCGGAGCGCACGCGGTGCAGCATGGCTTGGGAGAGGCGGTGGGTCATGCGCGCTGCTCCCTCTGCATCTAGGTCCTCTGGGGGAGTGGGACAGGGCGGGGAGTGGGACAGGGCGGGGAGTGGGACAGGGCGGGGAGCAGGACAGGGCGGGGAGCAGGACAGGGTGTGGGGAGTGTAAGGGTGCGTCGTGAAGGGCTGAACTCGAATGAAGGCATGTATCACAAGCAAGAAGGCAATGTGAAAACCATCAGTGGCAAGACGGTAATTACAGGATTCATCTCTTTGCGTCACCCGCACCCTCGTGTCACCTGCACCCTCGTGTCACCCGCACCCTCGTGTCACCTGCACCCTCGTGTCACCTGCACCCTCGTGTCACCTGCACCCTCGTGTCTTTGCATGTCATGTTGTAAACTCTTCTCCCTGAACCGGCGCCGCTCCTCCTCCTGCTCCCACACTGCTCACATACATACACCCAGACATACATGCACACATGCACTCACGCACCCATGTACGCACGCAACCATGCACACATGCAGGCATACACCATGCACACATGCAGGCATACACCATGCACACGTGCAAAACCAACCATGAGCTCGGGTCAACACACTTCAACGCACCAGCACAGATGCACCCATTTCCACCCATACACGCATTCCCACACGCACACACACGCGCACGCACAAACGCACACACACGCGCACAAACACACACGCAAGCACACACACACACACTCACACACACACGCACACACACACAAAAGGCTTCTTGGTCCCCTCTTTCCCATCCAACCCTTCACCCTGACGCCCATCCCCTACGCCCTTGACTGACGCCCAACCAATGCACTCTTGACTGAACAACAGAACAAATCCACTGCAAGAGGCAGTTCAGAAACATGCAAGCTGAGTGGAACTTGTAAAGAGTACCCTAACAGAACACCCCAGATTCACTCATCGATCCACCCCAGCTCACACAGGCTAGCCGTCACAAGGAGTCTTAGAATTGAATTGATACATTTCATATTCACGGCCTAAACTCACGCTTTGCTCGTTGCTTCACTATCGCTCGGTGCTGCGCCAATGCTGCTATTTCCTGCTCACAGTTGACAGCACAGCAACGCACACAGCACCGCACGGGGCAAGCACGCTTGTCAAAAGGTAATGCGGGTGGCAACATGTGTAGGCGGGTGCAAGGCACATGCATCAGGCATGGGGGCATGGAATGGCATGGCGTGGCATGGCATGGCACGGCATGCAGCACAGCACGGCATGGCATGGCATGGCATGGCATGGCATGGCATGGCATGGCATGGCATGCAACACAGCACGGCATGGCATGGCATGGCATGGCATGGCAAGGCTTGGCACGGCACGCATGGCCAGGAATGGCATGGCACGGCATGCAGCACGGCACAACATGGCATGACAAGGCACGTACATCAGGCGTGGGGGCATGGAGGCGGGAGCGGGATAGCCAGCTGGCCCATTCCACTGGTATCAGAGCAACAATGCGCGCAAGGGGGCAGAAACGAAGGTGAGAAGAGTGGGGAGTGATACGTAGGGGGGGTGGAAGAGAAGGAGAGTGCACAAGTAGGGGAGTGCACAAGTAGGGAGAGAGCAAATACGGGAGGCAGAGTACAAGGAACACAGCAATAAGACGAGCGAACACCAGTTAGGTGGCCATGGGTCGATACATGGCAGCAACTTTTTGAGTCGACTCAAAAGCCAATACGGGAGGCAGAGTACAAGGAACACAGCAATCAGACGAGTGAAAGCAAGCGGTGGTCTTTAGAAACGTGAGTGAAATAACCACTTTCCTTTGACAGATCTCTTATGACCCTCCCCCCTCCCTCCCTCCCCCATTCCCATCCCCCGCCTCCCTCCCTTTCAAGAATCCTCAGAAGTGAAAATGAATCCTCACATATCCCACGCGCCCCACATAAACACACCATCCCCTCATCACGCCACCCTGCCCAACGACTCGACAGGCACCCCGCTGAGGCGACAGTCAGGAAGCAAGGCACCCCACTGAGGCGACTACTGAGTGAAGTGAAAAGGCACATAGCCAGCTGGGCCCACCTGGCAGCTTGGTTGGGTCCGCCCCGCTCCTGCACTCCACCCACCGCCTCTCCCCCGCTGCTGCTGCTCAGAGACGGACGGGTGGAGGGAAGGTGGGCAGGGGGAAATGGGGGAAGGGGGGGACAGGGGGGGAAGGGGGGGAAGGGGGGGAAGAGGGTGAAGGGGGTGAGGGGGAGCGTGGCAGGAGATAAGACGAGGGGGATTATGAGGCCAGTCAGGCACCCGCCACGCCCCGCTGTACTCCACCCCACCGCCTCTCCACTGAACTTTTGAGTCGACTCAAAAGTCACCTGGGAAGCGTGACGGGAGATAGGACGAGGAGGAGTATGAGGCCAGTCAGGCACCCGCCCCCCCGCCCACCTGTACTCCACCCCACCACCTCTCCACCGCTTTAAGGGGGGGTTTTGAGAGGGCTCAAAACAAAAAACTACTTCAAACACGTGGCTATTCTGAGGCCAGTCAGGCACCCTCCCCGCTCCTGTACTCCACCCCACCACCTCTCCACCGCTGCGGTTGCTGGGCGGCGGACAGGGGGAGGAGGGGGGGGAAGGGGGGGACGGGTGCGGAGAGTGGGAGAGAATGCTGGGAGCAGTGGGGAGAGAAAGAGGGAAGAGAGTGGGAAGACGGGACGAGTGGGCTGGAAGAACGAAGGAGCGAGGGAAGAGGGGGAAGAGATGGGAGGGCGAAGAGGGAGAAGCAGAAAGGGCAGCATGGGTCGTGAAAGGGCAGCATGGGTCGTGAAAGGGCAGCATGGGTCGTGAAAGCTATTAAAGCGAATGAGCTAGATCAGATTGAGTGAGGCGCGAACAAGGCGAGGGGGGGAGGGTGGGCGGACGAGAGGGAGGGTGGGGAGGGAGGGAGGGAGGGAGGGTGAGGAAAAGGAGGAAGACGTGGGGCGGAGAGGTTTGGAGGGAGAGAAGGAGAGGACCGGGATAAGGCACGGCACGCACTCCCTCCCACCGGAGAGGGAACGTACGCATTGAGGAGAGTGCACCCATCATAACGCAGTGCACACATCATAACGCAGTGCACACATCATCACGCAGTGCACACATCATCACGCAATGCACACATCATCACGCAGTGCACACGTCATCACGCAGTGCACACATCATCACGCAGTGCACACATCATCACGCAATGCACACATCATCACGCAATGCACACATCATCATGCAATGCACACATCATCACGCAGTGCACACATCATCACGCAGTGCACACATCATCACGCAATGCACACATCATCACGCAGTGCACACATCATCACGCAATGCACACATCATCACGCAGTGCACACATCATCACGCAGTGCACACATCATCACGCAATGCACACATCATCACGCAGTGCACACATCATCACGCAATGCACACATCATCACGCAGTGCACACATCATCACGCAATGCACACATCATCACGCAGTGCACACGTCATCACGCAGTGCACACATCATCACGCAGTGCACACATCATCACGCAATGCACACATCATCACGCAATGCACACATCATCACGCAATGCACACATCATCACGCAATGCACACATCATCACGCAGTGCACACATCATCACGCAGTGCACACATCATCACGCAATGCACACATCATCACGCAGTGCACACATCATCACGCAATGCACACATCATCACGCAGTGCACACATCATCACGCAATGCACACATCATCACGCAGTGCACACGTCATCACGCAGTGCACACATCATCACGCAGTGCACACATCATCACGCAATGCACACATCATCACGCAATGCACACATCATCACGCAATGCACACATCATCACGCAATGCACACATCATCACGCAGTGCACACATCATCACGCAGTGCACACATCATCACGCAATGCACACATCATCACGCAGTGCACACATCATCACGCAATGCACACATCATCACGCAGTGCACACATCATCACGCAGTGCACACATCATCACGCAATGCACACATCATCACGCAGTGCACACATCATCACGCAATGCACACATCATCACGCAATGCACACATCATCACGCAGTGCACACATCATCACGCAGTGCACACATCATCACGCAGTGCACACATCATCACGCAGTGCACACATCATCACGCAGTGCACACATCATCACGCAGTGCACACATCATCACGCAGTGCACACATCATCACGCAGTGCACACATCATCACGCAGTGCACACATCATCACGCAGTGCACACATCATCACGCAGTGCACACATCATCACGCAGTGCACACATCATTGCAGCTCCTGAGTCGCCTCACCTCAAGCAGCATAGCAGCTTCAGACTTTGAAGCCCACTCACACACGCCCACGCACACAGGCTCGCGCGCGCGCACACACACACACACACACACACACACACACACGCACGCACGCTCACACAGACACACATGTGCGCACACATAAACACACCCCACCCGCACCCTCACACACACGCCCCCACCCCCCTTCCCCCAACACCCTCGCCCCTCCTACCAGGTCCACACACAGCCTCACAGCCACCCACAAAAACACACACTTTCCCAAGCTCCTCGGCCCCGTGTCCCCTCCGCCACTCTCCCGCTCCTCTGCTCTCCCCTTCCCCACCCCCCCACACACACCCACTCAGTGTGACACACACCGTTGGATCGGGACTGCGACTCATCGGCTGGTTGGTAAAAGTACTTATTTCCCGCGTCATCCGTTCCCGCCAAAACCGCGGGACCCCCGCCACGTGCCAGCCGCTGCACGCTCTGCCGCAGACTCGAGGCGATTCGCGAAAGCATCGGGGCTGACGGGCGGACGGGCGACGGAGGCGGCAAAGAATCGTCGCGCCGGCGACTCGCGTGCGACGAGCGAGCGACACGCGAGCGCGGACCGGCACAGATGAACGGGGAGAGGAACACTGTATGTCTTTCCGTGGAGCAATTTATTTCTCAAGGGCAGTGTACTGCCCCATTGAAGCTCCAGGAAAGTAGTCGAAGGATCGCAAAAGATGGTTTTGTTACAACGTACAATCACTGACAATAACAAATGTTCAATATCAGCATATGATGTACACGGGATGCGAAAACACCCACAACAATCTGTACCGCACATTGCGTACCATGCCATAACGTCAGTAATCATAAAGGTGAAAAGCAGTTCAATGCGGTGAAATACTTTTGATCTGGTCGTACTCAACCGTCATACACCACTGTAGCGTGGAACCTCACGAAGAGGATTCGAAAACTTCCTGCTGTCAGTTCGGTTTAGATCGTTTCCTATGATATTTGTGGTCGTCCTTGTTCTCCCTCCCATGAACATCACTCCTCACAGTATCACCCATGACTTGCGTTGCGAGCCTCGTTCATAGCACTCCTGAAAGCATAACTTCCGCCTATGATGCTCATGGATCGGCGATTAACGGCGAGTATGGTTGGGTAACTGGGGTGTGAAAGGTCGGAAAATTATTCGATCCACTTGCCCGCCGTCCTTTCCTCGTCCGCGTCCTTCACCGTACCTAACCGCTTGCTTCCGGGCTGACCAGCTTCGTTTTCACTTCGTCTGGACTGTCTCGTACTCGAAACGTTACACGCGAACGTCTCTTACAAAACCGGGCGAAATCCCAATCGCCGAAGCTTCATTCTCGAACGAAGCAACGTCCACTCATTCCTTCGCGACATTGCCTTTCTCCCCAGCCCCTGCCGTCCTGCCGTCCTGCCGTCCGCCTCCTCCGTCATTTCGCGGTTCGCAGTTGACTTCTTCTCCTCGTCTGCGATCCGCGCCGCCTCCTTTTCCTCCTCCTTCTCGTCCTCGCGCCGCTAGCAGAGCCATGGGATCGTCGCCGATCGACGCGCTGATGGCGTGGTTACAGCGCCTAGGTTCTTCGCTTTCGCCGAGGCTGTTACACGTCGTGCAAGCCATTCGCGCACTCGATGTAAGTGCGACAAGCTTATAGCGCGTATCGACCACTAGGTCTCCAGGTGCGATTCGAGTCGGCGAGTAAATCTACACTCATAATCCTATCGGCGAAGGGCATTCTTCTTCCGTCCATCCGTCGGATGCGCTTTCTATCCGTCGGATGCGCTTTCTATCCGTCGGATGCGCTTTCCCTCTACGCTGCCCTATAGACTATCTAACCGTAAGGCTCCCTACTAGGAAGCTTTTCAGGCCACGCGGTGTCGAATCTAGGTTGCATGGGGCTAGGCGGGCCTGACCTGACCTGTCCTAGCTGGTAGTGATTGAAGAAGTGAGTGGGTGAGGGGGTGATGGGGTGAGTGGGTGAGGGGTTGAGAAGGGTTGGCCCTGTCTGTTTCCCCAGTGGGTGAGCAAGCGTCACCAGCGCTGCCTCTCTTTTCCTCTTTCGTCGCGGTCTTTCCGTCCTCCTCCTCCTCCTCCTCCTCCTCCTCCTCCTCCTCCTCCTCCTCCTCCTCCTCCTCCTCCTCCTCCTCCTCCTCCTCCTCCTTCTCCTCCCCCTCCACCCTCCCCCCCACTCCCTCGTCCGTCGTCGCTCTCCACGTTCGAACTCTTTACTCCCACACCCTGCTCGTGCGACCTGATCCTTCCACTCCCCTCCAATGCCTGCTCATCTTTATTCTTACTCATCGTCTTATACCTACTTAATCTCCTGTTCCCTTTTCGTATCCCAAATGGAACGGAACAACATCCCCTCCTCCCCCTCTCCCAATCCCTCCTAGCCCCCTCCTGATTCCTCTCCCCCCTCCCCCAACCCACCCCCCCCTCCCCCCCCTCTTCTTCTCCATCCCACACTGGACACCCCTCTACTTCCATCCACCCCCTCCCGTTCTCTTCCCCCACCCCCTGCCCTCCTTCCCCTTGTCTCCCACCTCCCCCCCTTGCCCTCCTCCCTCCCCCTTTCTCCCCCTCTCCCCCGATCCCCTTTTCTTCCTCACACCGCCTACTTTCTCCGCGCATCCTTCAGCGCGCAACGACGATGGGCGCAGTTGCGGGGTTCGCGCTCGCCATACTAATCGCCTGGCGCTTCTCCCGTCCGCGGGCCCCCCGCTCCGCGCGCCCTCCACACGCGCGCTCGCCGCCTCCGCCGTCCGCCGCCGCCGCGCGGAAGCGCGACGAGGCGGGGCCCTCCGGAACAGCAGGCGCGGGCGGTCGCGGGGCGGGGGAGGTTGCGCGCGCGACTGGCGCGTCCGCGGGGATCAGCCAGGCGCACCAAAGAGGCGCGGGGAGATCCGCGGGAGGGGGAGCATATGCGGAGGCAGAAGGAAATGGAGGAACGAGAGGTGGCTTGAGAAAAGACCTGGTTCGGCAAGAAGACATGCCCCAGGTTCGGCCATAGCCTTGTTTGTGGGTTCGGTCCGAGCCTGAGCTGTGGCCTGTAGCTGGTGTAGTCGTTGCATGGGTGCTGTTGATTCTTGGCCGCACCTGTTGAGTATAAAGCCCTATCTGCATTCCATCCCTCCCTCTTCCAAACATCCTCCCCTTCACTTCCCCTTCCACTCCCCCTCCCATCCCCCCTCCGCCTTCCCTCCCCCTCCCTGTCGCTCACCGCGCCCCCCTGCGCCTCTCTCCTTGCGCAGTCGCGTCTGGCGCTCACAGTGCGGCAGCAGCTCAATGGCAGCAAGAGAGTGAGTGCGGGGGGCTGGGGGTCAAGGGGGGGGGGGGGGAGAGGGAGGGTGAGAATGGGGGGGAGAGAATGGGTGTTGGTGTGGCGGGGGTTGTCTGGCGCTCACAGTGCGGCAGAAGCTCAATGGCAGCAAGAGAGTGAGTGCGGGGGGCTGGGGGGGGGAAGGGGGAAAGGAGGTGGCGCGGGGGGAATGGGCGAGAGGGGGTGGGGGGGTGGGGGGGTGGGGGGATGGGGGATGGGGGGAGGGCGAACGGGAAGATTGCCATGCGAGAGATGGTTGAGGGTCACGTTGATTGATTGGTTGTACATGTGGAAGCATGTACAATCAATCAATACCCTTTCCATACCCTTTCCCCCTTCCTCTCCCTCTTCCTCTCCCACTCCCCCCCGCCATACCCCCATCTGCTTTCTTCCTTCTCCGTTGCATCTCTCCATGGGCATCCACATGAGTAGCATTCTATGGCATTTTCAATCTCGTTTCTCTCTTGGACACACGTGCCCCCCGCTCTTCCCGTCCCGTCCCTCCTGCAATCTTGTCTCTCTTCCTCTCTCTTTCACACACGCACTCCCCCCTGACCTCGTCCCAGTCACCTCCTCCCCCACTCCCACCCCCCCTCCCCGTGCCTCTTGTCCCTGCAAATCACGATTCAGATGCTAGGCGTGGTCTTGTTTCACTCTCTCTCTCTCTGACACACACGCACGCAACCCCTTCCCTCCTCCTTCTCCCTCACTTTCCTCTCCCCGACTTCCCCACCCACCTTTCCTCCCGTGCCTCTCTTCCCTGGTCTCGTTTCTCTCTCATTCTGACTTAACACACACACGCACGCAACCCGTCCCCTCTTCCCTCGCCCCCACTCCCCCCCTCTCCTCCCGTGCCTATCGTCTCTGCAGGTCACGATTCAGATGCTCGGAGTGGTGCTAAACCAATCATCACCAGAAGAGCTGCAAGTAATGCATTTGCGTCCACACATGCACACACACACATGCGCGCACACACACACACGCACACACACACGCACACACACACGCACACACACACGCACACACACACGCACACACACACGCGCGCGCACTACCACGTGGTCCTTTGCCCCTCGCACCACACCCCACCTCCCCCCCCCCCCCCCCCGCTCCCCTCTCCTTTCGCTGCCCCCCTCGTCCTACCCTCCACCCATCACTACTACCCGTGGTCTACTCATCTCCCACCACCCCCAACATCTGCCCTCCTCTCGCCCCCCCACCCCCCCCCCCTTTTCGTCTTTCCCCTTTCCTCTCCCCTCTCGCCTTCCCCTCTCACCTTCCCCTCTCGCCTCCCCATTTCCCCATGGGATTCTCTACACTCTTCGTGTGTCTTTACTCTCTACGTTTCTCCCGGGACTCCTTCTACCTTTCTTCGTGAAATGTCAGGACATTTCAATCAAATTTCTCCACGCGCCTTGTCTGTCCCGCCCCGCTCTCACCACCTCAACCATCACAACCCACAGTCCACTCATTTCCCATAACTCCTCACGGCCGCCTTTCTCTCTCCCCCTCCCCTCTCACCCTCCCCTCTCACCCTCTACATTCGCCCTCCCCTCTTCCCCTCCTCTCCCCCCCTCCGCTCACTCTCTTCTCTCGCCCTCCCCTCGTCCCCTCCTCTCTCCCTCTCCCCTCTCGCGCTCTTCTGTTCCTCTCTCGCGCTCATCAGTCCGGAGCATCGTTGCGGAGTGGGGCAGCGGAGATCGTGCGGGAGGTGGCAAGGCAGGCCGATGTGTACCTCATGGCACAAGTGCACAGCGACGAGAGCGAGGTGCGTTCACTCTGCCTCGCTTGCTGCCTTACCTGCCTGTCTGCTCCAAGGCCGCCTCCCTCTGATCCCACCCATCGGGCAGGCAGACGTGAATCTCATGGCACAAGTACACAGCGACGAGAGCGAGGTGCGTTCACTCTGCCTTGCTTGTTGCCTTACCTGCCTGTCTTCTCCAAGGCCGCCTCTGGTCCACCCATCGGGCAGGCCGATGTGTACCTCATGGCACAAGTGCACAGCGACGAGAGCAACGTACGTACGTTGTGCTTGCCTTGCTGGCTTGCCTTGCTGGCTTGCTTTGCTTGCTTGCTTGCCCTCTTGCTGCCTTCGTCTTCCCCATCCCCCTCCCCCTTCCCCTTCCCCATCCCCCTCCCCCTTCCCCTTCTACATCCCCCTCCCCCTTCCCCTTCCCCATCCCCCTCCCCCTTCCCCTCCCCATCCCCCTTCTCCTTCCCTCCCCCTTCCCCTCCTCTTCCCCCTCCCTCTTCCCTAACTCATGCAGGCCACCATCCTGTTAGCATTAGAGGAGGCCAATCTCTTCTCCCTGCCACACGGCTCCCTGTTTCCCTTCCCTCCCATGCCCCTTTCTTTTTCTCCTTCTTCTCCCTTCCCTCCTCCCTCCCCCCATGCAGGCCACCATCCTGTCAGCATTAGAGGAAGCCAATCTCTTCTCCCTGCCACACGGCTTCCCCTTTGACACGACCCTTCTCCCAATCCCCCTCCCTCTTCCCCTTCCCACCCCCCTTCCTCTACCCATCCCCCTCCCCCCCCCCCATACAGGCCACCATCCTGGCAGCACTAGAGGAGGCCAGTCTCTTCTCCCTCCCCCTCCCCATCCCGTTCCGCCTTCCACTTCCTCTTCCCTTTTCCCATCCCCTTCCTCCCTCCCCTCCACATTCCCCTCCACCTCCTCCTCCTCCCCCCCCAATGCAGGCCACCATCCTGTCAGCACTAGAGGAGGCCAGTCTCTTCTCCCTGCCTGACGGCTCGCCAGGGCCGATCAACCGAGACAAGGTACAGAAAACAGCAACAAGGGGCTTGCCTCATGAATGGCTGGGATGGGATGGGATGGGATGGGGTGGGGTGGGGTGGGGTGGGATGGGATGGGATGGGATGGGATGGGATGGGATGGGATGGGATGGGATGGGATGGGATGGGATGGGATGGGATGGGATGGGATGGGATGGGCTGGGCTGGGCTGGGGTGGGGTGGGGTGGGGTGGGGTGGGGTGGGGTGGGGTGGGATGGGATGGGATGGTTTGGGATGGGATGGGATGAGATGGGACGGGGTGGGGTGGGGTGGGGTGGGGTGGGGTGGGGTGGGGTGGGGTGGGGTGGGGTGGGATGGGGTGGGGTGGGATGGGATGGGAAGGGGTGGGATGGGATGGGATGGGATGGGATGGGATGGGATGGGGTGGGATGGGGTGGGGTGGGGTGGGGTGGGGTGGGATGGGGTGGGGTGGGGTGGGGTGGGGTGGGGTGGGATGGGATGGGGTGGGATGGGGTGGGGTGGGGTGGGGTGGGGTGGGATGGGGTGGGGTGGGGTGGGGTGGGATGGGGTGGGGTGGGGTGGGGTGGGGTGGGGTGGGATGGGGATGGGATGGGATGGGATGGGATGGGATGCGGCATATCTACTTAATAAGCTCCCCGGTAGCTACAGTTTTCTTAAATTTCAACTGCTTCGCTATCGTCTGCGCAGCAGCTGGTGTTGAGGCTCTTCAATACACCTCTCTCTCAAATGGTCCGTTGTATTGATTCAGCAGGGTACAGACATGCAGTCTGATTCAAGATACCCTTAGTCCCTCTGGCCCTCTCTCTCTCTGTCTCTTTCAGCACAACCGAACTTAACTCAACCGCACCGAGCCCGAACCGAACCAACACATTATCACTGTTTCCCACTGCATGGCGCCAACAGGTGCTGTTTTGTGAGAAGAACATTGCCATTGCATCGTTACTGCAGGCACCCATCGTTTCTGCAGGCAGCTGGTTGTGATATGTCCAAGCTTACCTCACCCCTTTATCAACCTACCTCGACCCATTCGAACCTTATGCTTCCCCACAGCACGGCACCAGGAGCTGTTCTGTTAGAAGGACAATGGAGTAGCGTCTTTTGTGTGGCAGCTGGTTCTGAAATGCTTTAAACCACCTCTCCCTCTTCCATGTCAACCCAACCCCACAAAACCCCTTCCAACCCAACCTCACTCCCACTGCGCGTCACCAGGTGCTGTTCTGTGAGAAGGACGTTGGAGTAGCGTCATTCGTGAGGCAGCTTGAGCCGGACTGGCACTTTGAGGCGTTTGACAGCACGGTGGAGCAGCTGCGGGTGAGCCATGGGGAGGGGAGGGGAGGATGGGGAAGGGTGCAATACAGGTACGGTGAGCGTCCTGTGTGTTGGGAGCAAGCAAGGCAGCTGGGGCCGGACTGGCACTTTGAGGCGTTTGACAGCACGGTGGAGCAGCTGCGGGTGAGTCATGGGAGGGGGGGGAGGGCGCAGCTGCGCGTGAGTCATGGGGGCGAGAGGGTACGGCACAGGCAGGGTGAGCGGTTCGTGTGGCTTGGGAGCAAGCTTGCTGGGGCCGGACTGGCACTTTGAGGCGTTTGACAGCACGGTGGAGCAGCTGCGGGTGAGCCATGGGGGGGAGAGGGTGCAGCACAGGCAATGTGAGTGTTCCCTGTTGTGAATGGCATTGAGCAAGCTAGGAGGAGCCCGATTGGCACGTTGAGGCATTTGACAGCAAATTGTTTCAGGCGCCTCAAAACCCATGTCTCCCGTTTCCTTTCCACCAGTTTCCTTTCTCCCCCCTTCCCCTCCCCCTCCCCCCCCCCCCCCCCAACCACCCCCCACCAGCGGTTTGTGAAGTACATTCTGCACATCACGCCAGCAGCCACCCATCTGAGGCGCCTCAAAACCCCTCTCATCCGTCCACCCCTTCCCCTCCACCTCCCACACCACGCCCACCAGCGGTTTGTGAAGTACGTACTGCACATCACGCCAGCAGCCACCTTTGGAGGCGTACTGAAGCCCTTTCTTCTTTCTCTTCATCCTATCCCCTTTCTCCCCCCTCCCCCCCCCCCCCCACCTCACCCCCACCAGCGGTTTGTGAAGTACATTCTGCACATCACGCCAGCAGCCACGGGGGCAGAAGCAACCAACCTTTTGAGCTGGATCAAAACCCCTCTCCCCTTCCCCCCCTCCCCCACCCGCATCCCCTTCTCACCCCCCCCTCACCCACCAGCGGTTTGTGAAGTACATTCTGCACATCACACCAGCGGCCACGGGGGCAGTGGCAGCCAATGTGGTATCAGTGCCATCCCTTGAAGCCTACTTTGGATCGCCCTCCTCCTGATGCTGCATCTCATCGCGCCCTCTTGGGTCAGCTTTGTTGAGTCGATTCAAAAGCCATGGAGGCAGTGGCAGCCAATGTGGTAACAGTGCCATCCCTCGAAGCCTACTTTGGATCGCCCTCCTCCTGATGCTTCATCATCATCATAACCGTGCCGATCGTCTTGTGTCGTCTCAAAACAAACCAACCCACCCACAGCTTTCACGTTTTCACAGTGACTCGTGGTGGCTCCCTCCAACCACCACCCATTTGAGACGTCTCGATTCCTCACAAACAACACCACGCGTTCAGGTTCAAGCCTTGACCCCCTGTTGTCATGACCTGGTCTTGTGGATTCACATTCGCTACACTAGTCGCAGCAGCGTCAGTGTGGAAAAACTGTGGAGGGCAGGGTGCTGCAAGGTTTCTTGACATGATTAGAATTGTTCGGTTGAGAGTTCTTACCGGTATAGCAATATCTTAGGTACGGTAGCTTGTGAGAGCTCTATGGTAAAGCAAAAGGGAATGTGGTGGTGAAACGGAGTGCAGACATTAGGTAGAAGTTTCGCTCATGCCATGCCATGCCATACAGCTTGCATGATGTTATATTACCAATGCAGGTCTGCCAGGCTCTAAGCCAGCAGGTGTTTCGTTACTCAAATGCCATGACCACCTACTGTCGTGCATCTGAATCTACCTACCAGGAGAACCACAGCGTTAGCTCTACTTTAACACTAGCAACTTTCCACCTCCACCTGCAAACGGTGAATGTGCTCGAAACTGTAGGAAAGTCTTTGGTAAGATGCCATGCCATGCCAAGCCAAAGCCTGCTCCACTCCACTCTTCTCTCCTCTGCTCCTCAATCTTCTTGTCTCCTCAATCTCAATCCTTCTCTCCTCTCTACCCCCATTCTCGTTTCCCTTTCTCGCCCTGCAGTCTTGTCTTTCCCCCCATCAGCCAAGCCAATGCAGCACCATGCTCCTTTCTCTCACACACCACAACCAAGTCCATTCCAGGTGCATCAAAAGAGGCCGTGCCACACTTGGCGCTGTGCGGTACAGTCATGTGCAGTCCTGTGGGGTGCGGTGCGTTGTAGTGCAGTTCAGTCGACCAGCCAACAATCCGATACTTGCCGTGAAACACACACGGCCTGAGCAGGATCCAACCACATCACAATACAAATCGCCTTCTTGGCTGTTGCTGCTGCTGCTGCTGCTGCTACTGTTGCTGCTGCTGCCGCTGCTGCATTCAGCCACCCGCTTCTCTTCAATCAATGTTCTCTCTCGAGCATTGGAAAGAGGAACCAGTCCCAACCACACTCAAGAGTCCCCACCACCTTTCAGTCATCCCCCCATGCCTCGTCCTTGAGTCGCCTCCGCTCCTCCAGTCTCATCCTCCTCTCAGCCTCCATCCTCTTCTCTCCAACCTGCCCGGCCACTCCTCCTGCTGCTGCTGCTGCCGCCGCTGCTGCTGCCCGGATTGCCAGGGCTGCATTCTGATTGGTCGCTGCAAGTGCCCCCGCGATCATTCTTTGCGCTGCCCGAATTGAAGTGGCGGGGCGAGGAATGGGGGTTTCTAGATCTGGGGAAGGGAGGATGGGGAGCAAAGACAGGTGGGAGGGAGGGAGAGAGGAGAGACGGGGTAGGAAGGAGGAAGGGGGGGGGCGAGGGGGGGGGGGGGGGGGGGGGGGGAAGGGGATGGTGAGTAGAGGGGAATAGATCTGGGTGAGGAAGGGCAGAGATGGGAGCTTGAAAATCTTGAGTGAACTGAAGAGGGATGTGGAAAGCTGTACAGATGGGGAGCATGCGGGAGCACAGAATTGAGAAGTGGAGTGGTGGGTGAGCGGCACAGGCAGCAGAGAGCATTGAGCATTGGGTGCAGGGGTTGGATGGGTCGAGTGTCACTCGAGCAGGGGTTGGATGGGCCGAGTGTCACTCGAGCAGGGGTTGGATGGTTGTCAGAACGAATGCTCTGAGCCAGTGTCGAGACGGCGGAAATGGAAGTGGGGAAAGGCGGGGAAGGCGAGGAGCAAAGCGCAGAAAGCAGTGGGTGTAGAGAGGGGTTGAGTGGGAGTCACAGAGGCAGCAGAGGGAGCAGAGGGAGCAGAGGGAGCAGAGGGAGCAGAGGGAGCAGAGGGAGCAGAGGGAGCAGAGGGAGCAGAGGGAGCAGAGGGAGCAGAGGGAGCAGAGGGAGCAGAGGGAGCAGAGGGAGCAGAGGCAGCAGAGGGAGCAGAGGGAGCAGAGGGAGCAGAGGGAGCAGAGGGAGCAGAGGGAGCAGAGGGAGCAGAGGGAGCAGAGGGAGCAGAGGCAGCAGAGGGAGCAGAGGGAGCAGAGGGAGCAGAGGGAGCAGAGGGAGCAGAGGGAGCAGAGGGAGCAGAGGGAGCAGAGGGAGCAGAGGGAGCAGAGGGAGCAGAGGGAGCAGAGTGCAGAGAGCCTTGCACGGGAAGGGGGAGGGGGAGGGAACCAGGTGTCAACCGTTGGCGGATAGTGCTACAGACAGAATCACTGCATGCATAGTGTTCCGAATTTCACTCACCTCGTCGGCGGATGAAAGGGTAGTGCTCCGAGGCAGTGTCTAAAGGGCGGAAGTGGAAGGGCGGCGAGGCAGCGCCTGCCAGAGCTGCTGTCGCTGCTGATAGCACAGAGGACGCTGGGGGGGCGAGGAGAGAGGGCGTGGGGGGAGGGAGGAGACAGGGCGTGGGGGAGGAGAGGGAAGAGGAGGGGGGAAGGGGGAGGGATGAGAGGGCGGAAGTGGTGGGGGGGGGGAGGGTTGGGGGAAGTGTGGTTTGGGGGGGAAAGAACTTATTGAGCTCGGGGTGGCGGGGAGGAGTGGGGGAGGAGGGGAGGAGGGGAGGGAAGGGGTTGAGAAAGGGGGGGGGGGGGGGGGGAAAGGTTCGGGAGGAAAGGGGTGGATCAATCAACGACGGAGGAAGATGGTGATATAGATGGTGCTTCCCTCGCTCGTGCCCATGCCCATGCCCATGCCCATGCCCATGCCCATGCCCATGCCCATGCCCATGCCCATGCCCATGCCCATGCCCATACCCATGCCCATGCCCATCCCCATCCCCATGCCCGTGCCCATGCCCATGCCCACGCCCACGCCCATGCCCATGCCCATGCATGACATACCAAGAGCGGGTGTGAGGAAGACAGCAAGAGCATGCGACTCATTTATCCACCGCACCACAAACGGAATGCTTGCTGTGTTTGTAGCGCTGTTGCTGCTGCTGCAGCTGAGGTCACTTTCAGCTCTACCAGCAGCATCCATGCACGTGGCTTCCATGACTAGGTTGTGAATGACTGCCTCCACGTCAGCAGTGGCCACGTCATCAGAGAGACCAAGCACCTCTAGCACGTGCCGTCCACCGTAGGGGACTGGGGGCATTCGGGGAGGAGGGGAGGAGAGGAGGGGAGGAGAGGAGGAGGGGAGGAGGAGAGGAGGGGAGGAGAAGAGAACGGGAGAAGAGGAGGGGAGGACAGGAGAGAAGAGGACAGGAGGAGAAGAGGAGGGGAGGAGAAGAGGAGGGGAGGTCGGGAGGAGGGGGAAAACAGACGTTGAAAGGAAGGGCGAAGAGGAGGAAAGGTGGAAATGGGAAGGAGGATGAAGGAAGGGAGGAGGGGAGGAACAATAGCTCCACTAACAACATTAGCGAGGGAGGAGGGGGAACCGGGAACGGGGGAGAGGAGAGGGGAAAGAGAAACTTGGCAAAAGGAGAGGGGAAGAAGGGATGGGGAAAGGGGAGAGGGAGCAGAGGGGATGGCTAGGAGAGAGGCAGATATGGTGGCTGGTTCTGACAACAAAGGAATGTGTAAATCGCACCACCCCACCCACCCCACCAAACCCCACTCCGTCCCATACCATCCCATCCAACCCACCCCACCTATCCCATCCCATCCCATCCCATCCCATCCCATCCCATCCCATCCCATCCCATCCCATCCCATCCCATCCCACAGCACACCTGTTGCAAGGTCCTCCCCATCCCATCCTCCCTCCCCAACGTCACCCCCTCTTGCTCCACCCCTCCTCCCTTCACCCCGTCCCCCCTCCCACTCGTACGGATCTCCAACCCTCTGCTCTCCAACCCTCTGCTCTCCAACCCTCTGCACTCCAACCCTCTGCTCTCCAACCCTCTGCTCTCCAACCCTCTGCTCTCCAACCCTCTGCTCTCCAACCCTCTGCTCTCCAACCCTCTGCTCTCCAACCCTCTGCTCTCCAACCCTCTGCTCTCCAACCCTCAACTCCCCAGCTCTCCTCTCCGCCTGCTCTTCTCCCTGCGCTGCTCTTCGCTCCCATCGCATCTCCTCCCCAGCCTCCCTGCTGTCTGCTCCCCCGCGTGTGGCCTCGCTTCCCACGCCCGCTCGCCTGCAGCTGCTGCTGCTGCTGCTGCCGGTGCTGCCGGTGCTGGTGGTGCTGGTGCTGCTTCTCCGGCTGCTGAATTCACTGGACTGGGTCGGCGGCGTGTCGCTGCTGCTGACTGCCAAGAGATTACTACCGTCAGCAGCAGCACTACCAGCACCAGCACCATCAGCAGCAGCACCAGCAGCACCATCACCAACTGCAGCAGCAGCAGCAGGAGGAGTGGCAGGTGCGGCAAGTGCAGCAGCAGCAGCACCGGTTGTGGGAGCGGTGATACCACAGCCTGTAGCATCTGAACGGGAGGCCCCAGCCGGGTAAGGCACAGCTGCAGCAGCGGCAGCAGCAGAGGGAGCTGCCACAACGTTATCACCAACACCAGCACCAGCAACACCAGCAGCACCAACACCAAGACCAGCAGTAGTGGTAGCAGCCGCAGCAGCAGCAGAACGGACATTGCTCCTTTTCCCATCGCTCGCAGCTTCCTTGGTCTCTTTCGTCCCTTTCTTCCCTACACCTCCTGCTTTCGTCACCGCCACTCGAGCTGCCTCTACCCCCACCTTCTCTTTCCTACTGCTGCTGGTATTGCTGTTGCTGCTGCTGCCGCTGCTGTTCTTGCTATTGCTGACGGTTCTGCTGCTTCCACGCGGAAACGCGTTATTCTTAGCCCCTTTATAAACGATAATTTCCTCTTCTTTTTCAGAAGCATCATCCGAATCTTCAGACTCCTCGCTCCCTGCCTCGTCACTGTACATGCGCCCGCGCTGACCGAAACTGAACCTTCCGCGACCCTTCTGCCGCGCACCGCCACCCCCGCCAGCACCCCCCGAGCTGCCAGCGCTTCTTCCGCCACCTCCGCTTTTTCCGCCAGCCCCGCATTTTCCGCCGCTTCCGCCGCCGCCGGAAAGCCTTCCGTCTGAGCTGGCTGGTTGGGGCGAAGCATCAGTGCGAAGCTTCGACGAAGGTGTGGCAGTTATTTTTTTGTCACTCGGACGGAATGAATTAGCGTCACGCGACGATGGCGCGGCTTGAGCTGGAGCTAGTGACAAGGCAGATAATGACGTGGAAGCGAAATTGTCGACGTGGTCTTCCCACGTGGACTCCCAATCATCATCTTCTTCTTCCTCTAATCCGGCGGAAGCGGCTGGCTCCGCAGGCGGTTTCGCCGCTAGGTCAGCCATGCGATTCGTTTAATTACTAATATGCGCGCGGTTTTGGCTGAAAGCGGTTTCTTTATGAAGGTCGCGAAGAGATGTCACGGCGCTTATTAGTGGCCGATTGCGACCTTTTCCTGGTACCAAGTACCACCACACCTGTCGAAATGAGAACCAGGATGACTGTATGTATAGCTCTGAACAAATGTTTGCATGTGCAGACCTTATAGGTAACAGAGTCTCTTCATAACGCGTCGTCACTTTGCCTTGGGCCCAGGCTTGGTCGAGGCTCAACAACAGCTGCTTCCAAAGTAGCTCCACCACTGCTTGTCTGTTTGAATTCGTGAGATGACGTGGCTCGGCTCGCACAGATTTTGCGGCGAGCGCCAATTGGCCTGGGAGTAATCAAGGCACATTCCTCAATCACCGGAGTATCGATCTGACCGTAACTGGGATTCAAATTCCGAGCAATAGAGCGAGTTGCATTATTAAAGGCACATTTGCAACATAGCAATATGTAAGTGTGTCTTGTAATGTTTACAGTGTATTTTCCTTTACGGGCATTCTCCGTGGTACATCTCGAGAGCGTCAAGATGAATGAGCAAACCCGAGGTTGCTTGCAGTGTGCCGTCGACATGGCGGAGTACACGGCGGAAGGAAGAATGCAGCAAGTGTATGCATGAGGACCACTCATCTTCATGCTTGCTCTTCTGGTACTTGGTACGGTTCCTTTTGTTGCGCAACGGTCGAAAGCGGTTTGGCTCGAAAACCCTACAACACCGCTCTTTAACGTACTTAATCGAGGGAATAACCAGACCAGACCCTCCAGATTATTCGATCATTCCTCTCTCGGAAGCTAATATCAACTCGATATTTATTACCACCCGCGCAATAATGTCGCGGGCTCGCTTACTAGCCTACCGTGAGCATATCTAGGCGCTCCTCTTAAACTTCTCCGCATTCCCTTCGTCGTAATCTCTTACCTGCTTTTTAAAACATGACAACGGTAGCAGCTCGATCGGAACCACCACCAGTCGCTCCGTTAAGAGGATATCCTCTAGTGCCTATAAGTGTGTCAGGCCATGTATCCCCGCCTTACATGAAGCCTCCATTCTCTTCCACCTATCCCTCGCCGTATATCTCCCCTCCCCGCGCTCCGCCATATCTTCCCCCGCACGAGCAACCTCCGCCCATCCCATCCGCCGCGCCCGCTGTCTTCCCCTCCCCGCACCTCAACTCCCCCCATTCCCCGCGTTCCCCTTACTCCCCCCGTTCCGCGCGATCTCCGCCGACCTATTCCCTTTCCGCCTGCTCCCCCGCCACCTCCCCGCCACTCGCTTCACCCTTCCTCCCCAACTCCATTGCGGAAGCTGCGCGCTCGTTCCTATCTTCCGCCGTCCTCTCCCCCTTGGGGGAAACCATTAAGGCTTCCGCGGTGGCGGGGGAGAGACGGGGGGGAGTTGGCGGTGTCGATTCGGGGAAACGTGGGGAAGCAGGCGCAAGCAGCGGAGCGGCTAGAGGCGACGGGAGGGACGGCTGCGGAGGAGGCGCGAGCTCGGGGGACGGCGGAAGGAACCCTGGCGGAGCAAGCGGAGCAGGCGGAGCGGCGCTGGGCGGAGAAAGACTCGCGGGTTTAAAGGCTTCCGCCAGGCGCGCGGCGGAGGAGGAGGCGGCGGTGACGATGGGTCCCGCGGCGATCTTCGGGGCGCCGCTGAGAGGCGGAGCGGCGGCGGCGGCGGCGGGCGCGTGGGGGTCATCGGCGCAAGCAGCCGCGTTACATGCGCCTTCGTTACAATCACATCCGCAGCAGCTGCCGGCAGGATCGCGGCGCTACCCGTACATGCACACTGCCATCTACGGATGCGGTATGCGCGGGGCACGTCGTTGGAAGTGCGGGGGGAAGGGGGAGAAGGGGGTGGTGTGGGGGGGGGGGGGGGGGGGGGGGGGGAGGAAGGGTTTGGGGAGGGGATGGAGAAGGTTGTGGGGGTGGGGGAAGGGAAAGGGTGTGGGGGGGGTGTGGGGAGGGGGGGGGGAAGGGGTATGCGTGGAGGGGGGGAGGGGAAAGGGGTATGCGTGGGGGACAGTTGGGGTGGGAAAGAGGGGGGGATGGGGAGGGGGGAGGGGAGGGGGAAGATGGGGAATGTGCATGGGTGCGCACTGCGCTGGGTCTTTTACTGCTATGACTGTGGGGGAAGATCGGCAAATGCTGCACCTTTCTCATTCCAGCTTGGGTCATTGTAGCATTCCTCTTTCTGCTTGCGCTTGGATCTCATCATGCCTCTTCCCAGCATTTCCCACTCTCCCTCTACTCCCCACAACCCCCCACCCCCCGCTTCCCCCATTTCCCCCACGCGTCCTTAGCACTCCATCACTCTCCCCTCGTCATTTTCTTACGTGAATCCCCCCACCCCACTTGCTTCCCGCCGCCCCTCCCTCTGCACTCATGTTCCCAATTCTTAACTGTAACCACTACTGTTCTGCCCCTCCCTCCCTGCCTCCCTCCCTGCCTCCTTTCCTCGCTCCCTCCCTCCCTCCCTCCCTCCCTCCCTCCCTCCCTCCCTCCCTCCCCCCCCCCACTCCCTCCCTCCCTCCCTCCCTCCCTCCCTCCCTCCCTCCCTCCTTCCCTCCCTCTCTCCCTCCCTCCCCCCCTCCCTCCCCCCCTCCCTCCCTCCCTCCCTCCCTCCCTCCCTCCCCCCCTCCCTCCCTCCCTCCCTCCCTCCCTCCCTCCCCCCCTCTCCCCCTCCCTCGCTCTGCGTGCACGTCCGACACAGCACTATGCACAGCGGGGGTCACGGCAATAGTCTTCCCCATGGCCTTCACAGTCACGCTGGAGCTGCTCGTGGGTAAGCCAAGAAAGTACCTCATGCGCCCGGGCGGTGCTTGTGGTAGTGGGATGACTTTTGAGTCGACTCAAAACTCACCAAGAACGGAGCTCATGCGCCCGGGTGGTGGTTGTGGTAGTGGGATGATAATGCTGCGTTGCTATGGTACCTGCCTATACCAGCTGCCTCTTAAATCGTCTCCATACCATGCATCTAGTCTCCAAACTGGCATTCGTCTCTTTCGCATTCCTAAGATCGCCCCCTTAAATCCCATCCGTTCCACCTCCCCCTTTCCCCCAATTCCTCCCCTTCCCCTTCCCCTCCTCCCCACCCCCCCACCCCCCACCCCCCACCCCCCACCCCCCCCTCCTGTTTTCACCTCTTCGTTATTCCCATCACACCAGCCAGTGTCCGTGCAACAGGGGACTGGAGTCGCTGGCAGCGTTTCTGCTGCAGCGCTCTGCTCCCTTTTACATTCAAACTTCCTCTCGTCATCCACCAACGGTTCCACCTCCCCCTTTCTTATCCCCCTTTCCCCTCCCCATTTCCCCCTCCCCCTTTTCCGTCCCCTTTTCCCCCCCTCCCCTTTCCCCCTCCGCTTTCCGCCTCCCTCTTTTCCCCTCCCCTTATCCCCCTCCCCCTCTCTCCCCCCCCTCCATCCCATTTCCCCTTCGCCATCCCCATCCCACCAGCCATCGTCCTTGCAATAGGCGGGCTGGCGTCGCTAGCAGCGTTTCTCCTGCAGCGCTCTGCTCCCGGCGCGCCTCTCTTCCTGCTGCTCGCGTGTCTCCACTCTGCCACTGCACTGCTGCTGCTGCTCTTCCCCTCCTTCGGTGCGCTCGGCCTCACTCTCGCCCTGGCAGCCTGGTTCATGGCTAAGGTGCGTCCTTCGCACTCTCAGATGCCTCTTGAGTCAACTCAAACGCCACTGCGCTGCTCCTGCTCCTGCTGCTGCTGCTGCTGTTGCTGCTGCTGCTGCTGCTGCCGCTGCCGTTTCTCTTCTCCTCGTTTGGTGCTCTCGCCCTAGCAGCCTGGTTCAAGGTGAGTCTGTCCTGCGGCTGCTGCCGATGCCGCCGCTGCCGCCACTGCTGCTGCTTCATCTGCCTCTGCTGCTACACAAGACCAGTCAAGAGAAGAAACAAAACACAGCTCAGGGTGGATCACAACGTCACCACGCAGTCTGAGCACAAGCAAAAGACCACAAGGTCAGTTCACATGCAGAGATATATATATAGATCACAGTACAAACAAAGCCTACAGCAAGTGGGCAAGTGTGGGCACTAGGCCTAACAAGGTGCAGAAACGCTGATGATCACCAGGCGGAAGCGCCTTGGTGAATATATCACCAGTGTTGGCCCGAGTGGCCACGTAAGCAAGACGAAGCTAGCCACGCTGCTGCAGCTCTAGAGCAAGGAAGTAACGCAGAGCGATGTGCTTCGTTCTGTGCTCCAGTCTGTGCTCCTGACACAAGGCAATGGCGGCCTTGTTGTCGACGTACAGAACTGGAGAAGAACGAGGCCGCTCTCCCAAGTCAGTCAGCAGGTAGGTGAGCCAGCGTAGCTCCTGTGCAGCCATGGCTGTGGCGTAGATCTCGGCCTCACAGCTGGAGCCGAGAACTGAAGACGAACGTGTAGAACGCCAGGAAACTGAGCCAGAACCAAGGCTGAAGGTGTAACCCTGTGACGACCGCTGCGTAGCCTGGTCGTCAACCCAAGAGGCGTCCGAGTGACCAGTGAGGACAACGTCACCCCGTCCTCCAAGCACGAGCCCCATGCCCGATGTACTGCACAAGTAGCGTAGTACCCTCTTAGCAGCATCCATGTGCACCTTTCGGTGCCGACCAGGAGCCACGTAGCGAGCCAGAAGGCCAAGAGGGTACGCAAGGTCAGGACGAGTGCAGGTCATCAGGTACATGAGGCAGCCGACTAGCTCTGGGTAAAGACCACTCGGCTCTACGGACTCGTCCGAAGGTGGAGCTGAGAGCGAGTGACCTGTAGCCAGAGGAGTGGCCTGTGCTGAGGACCAGGTGAAGCGGAAGCGCTGAAGGACCTACTGCACCATGTGTGACTGGGTCAGTGTGATGGTGCGGCGTGCTCTGTCCCGGGTGATCCGCAAGCCAAGATAGCTTGTCAGCTCACCCAGGTCTGTGCACGTGTGTCTCTTCTGCAGCTCCGACTTCACCAGGGCGAGCGCCTCAGTGTCAGCAGTGGCAAAGACCAAGTCGTCGACGTACACGAGGATGTAGAACGGCAGCAGCGAAGTGTCGGTGCGCAGAAACAGCGACGGGTCAGCAGTCGACGGGGCAAACCCAAGAGCCGCAAGAGTCGTCCTCAGTGTGTCGTGCCACTCACGTGGCGCCTGGCGGAGACCGTAGACTGGCCGTCGGAGGCTCCACTGGGTACCAGGAGGGAACGACCCAGAGAAGCCAGGTGGACGGCGCAGCCAGATCTCCTCGTGCAGGCTGCCCTGTAAGAAAGCTGTGCTGAAGTCAAGAGAGTGAAGCTCGTAGTCACGCTGAGCGGCAACGTGCAGCAGCACCCGAAGAGTGGTCATCTTCGGGGTGGGGGAGAAGGTCTGGAAGAAGTCAACTTTCTCTCGCTGACTGAAACCTCGAGCAACGTAACGAGCCTTGAAGACAGGTGGAGAACCTGGCGGCCGCTTCACCCTGAAAATCCACATGCCGCTGACGATGTTCGCCCCAGGAGGGGGAACCTCGTCGACGTACGTGCCTGTGGACTTCCAGGATGCCATCTCTGCGTCCATGGCTATCTGCCACTGAGAGGAGTACTCACCCGCGATCGCCTCAGCGTAAGAGCGCGGGGTCGGGATGTCTGGAGCATCCGGGTCTCCCTCAGGGGCAAGCAGCATGGACACGAGATGAGGCGCAGCGGCTGCAAGACACTCAAGGTCCTCCTGTCTGTCCTCAAGGACGTCCGTGCCAAGAGCACACTCACCCCCGACGGACGGAGGACAGACAGACTCAGATTCAGCAACAAGACTAGCGGCGTAGTCTAGACGACAGTGAGCAGCAAAGTCGACAAGCTCAGCGACTAAGGCAGACGCAGCAGCAGACTCAAACGACGGGTCGGCGACAACAGTGGCTAGCAGACGCGAGACAGTAGGGTGCTCAGCACGAAACCGGTCAGACTCAGGGTCAGCAACGATAGGTAGAGAGGACGGAGGCGGAGACGGCAGGTGAACACGTGGCGGCGGAGAGGAAGGACGACGGACGACAAGGGAAGGGCCGGGGACAGCCGGCTGACGCTGACGAGGAACACGACGACTGGAACGACCGGAAAGGACAGGTGAGACAGGACGCGACGCAGGCTCACGACGCTCAGCAAGGCCCCCCGTCTGCTCAGCGTAAGGAGAAGGAGCAGGCAGAGGTGAGCCAGGCTGTAACGGAAGACCAGTAGACGACGGGAGGCTAAGAACCTGGCGAAGCACGGAGCCAGGCAGGGGCAGAGACGACGGAGATGGCGGAGCAAAGAACAGGCGCGGCTGTGCAGTGCCACCAGCACCAGCAGCTCCAGCACCCTCAGCAACTCCAGCACCTCCAGCAGCTCCAGCACCCGCAGCAGCTCCAGCACCTCCAGCACCCTCAGCAGCTCCAGCTCCTCCAGCAGCTCCAGTACCCCCAGCAGCTCCAGCTCCTCCAGCAGCTCCAATACCCTCAGCAGCTCCAGCACCTCCAGCAGTCCCAGTACCCGCAGCAGCCCCAGCACCTCCAGCAGCTCCAGAACCCTCAGCACCAGCCCAACTTGGTGCAGCACCCCCAGAACCGGCACCTCCAGTCCTAGGGTCTCCAACCGCAGTGCCACCAGCAGCAGCACCCTCAGACACGCCACCGTCAGCCCCAGCAGCTCCAGCACTCCCAGTACGAGCACCTCCGGGACCAGCGACACTAACACCTCCATCAGGCAAAGGACCAGCACCACTCCCAGCTCCAGTGACGCCAGCAGAAGAACCCCCAGCAGTAGAGCCCTGAGGTGCAGAAGCGCGACGGTGACGGCGACCGTACCAGTCGTGCAGCTGCTGGGAGGTGAGAGGCACACGCGGACGAAGACGGCTACTCCAAGGAGACCGCGTAACAGCAGTCTCAGGACCCTCAGGCGACTCACCCCCAGACTCAGCACCCCCAGGCTCCGCACACACAGGCTCAGCACCCCCAGGCTCCGTACCCTCAGGCCCCTCACGCCCAGCGCCCCCAGACTCAGCACTCCCACGCTGCAAACCCCCAAGCTCCGCACCCCCAGGGACAGCACCACCACCAGCAGGACCGGAGTCACCAGTGACCTCAACAGGCGCAGGGACGGGAGGGTCTACCTGAGAAACACCTGAAGGAGCAGGACCTGGCGCAGGGAGGGGGTCTACCTGGGGAGGACCTGGGGCAAGAAAGAGCGGCGGGAGAGGGCGAGGAGCAGTGCGGTAGGGGAAGAGGCGGTAGAAGGGGACCGACTCGTCAAAGGTGACGTCCTGGGACGCAAAAACACGGCGCGAGGCGGGGTCGTAAAACTGCCAGCCAGGCGCGTCAGGGACGAAGCCAAGGAAGACGCAAGGAATGGCGCGAGGGGAGAGCTTGTCCGCGGTGGTATCGCGAACAAAGGCACGAGCACCCCAGACCCGGAAACGCGACGCGTCGCCAACCTTCCCCGTCCACAGCAGTGTGGGCGAGGTCTCCGGCAAGGAGACACGGGGCCAAAGGTTGAGCTGATGCGCGGCGTACCGGACCGCAAACGGCCACAGAAAATGGGGGGCAGCCGCATGGATCATGGAGGTACGAGCGACCTCCATGACTAAGCCAATGCGGCGCTCAGCAACCCCATTCTGCTGCGGAGAGGCCGGAAGCGTGAAAGTCTGGCGGATGCCGTGCTCCGCACAGAAGGCGGCCAAGAGGTCTGAGGAGAACTCACCACCTCTGTCAGAGTGCAGACGCAGGACAGGAAAGTCCGACTGGAACCGCTCGCGGAGCTGGAGACGAGTAGCGCGGATCCAGGGGATCAAACATCAGGGACATCCCCCTTGCGCTGCAAGGGGAAGACCATGGTGTAGCGCGTGTAGTCGTCGACAACCAGCAGGAAGTACCGTTCGTGGCCCTGTCCACGGACGCGGGCTGGGCCCCACACGTCCAGGTGGAGAGTCTGCAGTGGAGCCTCTGTGGGAGGGAACGAGGAGGAGTGAGGAGCGGCGCGCTGCCGCCCCTCGACGCAAGGAATGCAGGGCGGCGCAGGCGAGGGAGGGAGGGCAGGCAGAGACCTGGGAAGACCAGAAACCAGAAAGCGAGAGTGCATGCTACGAAGGCGAGGCAGGGAGGGGTGTGCCAGGCGGTGGTGTCACAGGAGGCTGTCGTGAGACAGCCGGCGACACTCACACTGGGTAGCTACCTGAGCAGACGCGTGCAGCTGGGGAGACAAAGGGGTGAAGCGGGACTCAGTGGTGAGGGTGTACAGACTGGACCCTGGCGCACGGGTGAACGTGGCCAGGTGGGGGCCGGTCTGGGAGCACGTGCAGATCGCCACACGCTGTCGGCCAAGGGTGAAGGTGTCAACACCCGCATCCTGGAGGACAGCGTTGCTCACCAAGTTCGTAGAGAACGAGGGGAGGTGGAGACCAGACAGCTCACCAGACGGGACCGCCGGACAAGGAAGCACAGTGGAAGACCGTGCAAGCACTGGGCCCCCAGAGGGGTCAGCCAGTGAGACAGGAACAG